GCACTGCACTCTGATCTTTTTTTTACTTAAGCGTCACTTCAATAACATTTTAAGAACTCGGGGTCAAGGTTTTGGTCTAAAGCTGTCGGCGGCCCGAAAATGTTGACACCTGTAATTGCCGCTTTACATGCGGAGTAAACAAGCGAATTACTCATACGCCGCGTTGCCCCTGCCACTTAAGATGAAGCAGTGAACAGTGGTGGTTCTTTTTTTCTTGGCTCTTTTGCGGTCTCGGCTTTACTTCTTTTTGCCGCGGCTGATGGTCAAGAGCATGCTGCACCCGTTTTGGCTTCATTTTCGCCAATTTGGTGGCTGAAAATGGGGAAACAATTGAAATTTGTTCAAGGCTTCGACCGAGCGACTATGAAAAACCGCTGAATTGAGATGTGTTTTGGTTGTTGCTTTAATTTTCTGCTCCACGAGGTGAATGCCATCGAAACATGTGTTTTCACTCTTTCTCTCGACGGCTGCAGAAACTTCCTGAAGATTTGTGGAAAGCTCTCAACGGAACCAACATTTTAGATTTCCATTTAAATCTCCTTTGGACTATCAAACTTGTCCCTTTTATACATACCCGTAAATAATAACTTAACCACCATGACTCATCAGATAGAAACACCCACCTACCGATTCCTTTCCAATTCATCAGAAAAACCACTTTGGCAATGTAAAATGCATCAAGTTTCCCAGCAAATTGAGCGTTAAAGTTCCATTCGCCAACAGGTCACGAATTTGCAGTTGATATCGGGTTTCCATCAGGCTGCAGCATCTTCCTAATCTCGTCAAGCATCAAAGTCGCAATCATCAATTCGACGACATTATAAGCGTCGCTCGTTTAAGCCACGAGTGTCCTTTCCCCCCGCACTCACATCCCATTTTACGGGGAAGACAAAGAAACTATACGGACAATTTTTCGGCAAGATTACGAGCGCTGAACAAAGAAACGTCCCCGACTTCCCCTGTCGAAGCCGTAACAATTACAAAGTCTGCTCTGCTTCTATTTTTCCACTGCAAAATATTACCAAGAAAAAAAATTGCATGCTTTGAAACTTGGAAAATTTATTTAACTAAAGTCAACATTGGCAGACCTTTGGAAATAGAATTAAAACCTTGTATTAATTTACATATGTACATATATCAATTCATATTGTTTAAGGGATCACAAACAAGATTCTTGCTGCAACCAAAAGTCTCTAACAATAGGAAAATTAATTTATTTCAAACTGATATGGTTGTCTTGTCTGTTTCAGACCGAATACTTTTTGAAAACATAAATATCCTAATATCTCATTGAAGTTCTTTTTAATGAACAGTTGGTTAAGGACTCTCCATTTAAAACATATTGTATAGCCACGTCAAGAAAGGCAGCATTCTATAAAAAAAAGATGCACAATTTATTATAACACTTGCGGATGACATTTCGCCTTGTGTACCTTAACTTCTTTGGTGCGAAGGAGAGGAAGAGCAGCAGGTTTTGTCGCCTTGTCGTTGCCATCGTAATCTGTTGATGGGAATGGTGGGGAGCAGGAGGAGGAGAGGGGGGAGAAGGGAGAAAGGGAAGAGGAAGGGGAGGCAACGGAGATTGCGATTGTGATTCTGTTTCTGTTTCAGCTTTCAGCTCCAGTCTGCAGGTTAGTCAGTCAAGTCGGTTTGTCAGTTAGTCGCTGGGTTTGAGTGCTCGGCGCGTGTATTAGATGATATGAGGTCATTCACTGCTGTTTACACCGAAAACTTCGTTCGTCTCGCCGACGCAGCTGCGCTGCTTTCCTCCGCTGCTGCTTCGACTGCGGCTGCCGAAATTTCTGGATGACGCTGCGCTCAATAATATACAATATACAGTTTGCTTTGCCCCGTCTGTGTGTTGGTGGGGCCGTGCTGAAAGCAATACCCGAACCGAAACCCCAAACTGTTGCCCTGCTTCCACGTTTCCGACATCTTCCTTGCCCATCGTCCGCCTGTCTGGCAGTAGGTGGCGCCTTAGTCGTCCTCCGGCTTAGCACAGTGGCGCCAGGATCATTTTCTCCCGTCCTAGAAAGTTTAGGGATCAATAAAAAGATTACAAATAATCATCGTAGTTAATATATTAATTCATTTTATTTTTTGTTCTCTTTCACTGTGCAGATAAGATTAAAGCATTTGGCTTGATCAAAAACCTGTACCATATAAAGGTATTCTTTATTTTGTTTAAAAGGAGTTTTATTTATTTTTATTTGATTATTTTATTTAAATGGTTACTAGAAATTCAGTCACTTAATGCATAATATGTATGTATATTTTATAAGAATTAACGGCGTTTTAATTCCCATAAATACATATGCCTCATTCCTATAAATCCGGTTTTAATTAAATCTTCCCGGAGGTTATTCCAAGAAATCTCGAAACGGAAATCTATTGTAACTGGAAGCCCCTAGATTAATACCCTGAATGCGATCACTTTGCCTGATGCAAGCATTGATTATCTCCAACGTGTTGATTAGTTTTCCATGCGAATCGACCAGTGTGCAGCATTTGTCGTTAGCTGTTCAATGACTTCTGCTGAAACATGAATCGACTACACAGGCGACACCCAAACCAAGCCCCAATCCCCAATCCCCAAGCCCGACCATTCCGATTCCGAAGGAGTCAAGGAGCTGTGCGCAAAGGAGGAGCAGAAGTGGAAGCTTCCAGCAGGCAGCAGGCAGCAGGCGGAGCAGAGCCACCTAATGCGCTTCCTCTTCAACAAATTCTTTTACGACTGGCTGTCTGTCTGTCTCAGTCCCCTCTCATTTTCTGCTTCTTCTGGCAAAAGGAGCCGTCGGCGGCAGTCAAACCCAAACGTTTCCCCCAGGCCCATTCGACTAGCCCCAAACCCTTGCCTTCGTTCTAAATCTTACATGGAAAGAAATTGAGCATTATTCCTTTAATCCTTTTACTATTTGAAGTATTTCCACCAGTTTCTTGTGTTGATGTTTTTTTATAAAACAAAAATACAATGGTATTTTATAATATATTGGTTTTATTTGTCCACTCGGAATAGATTTGGTTAATATAACTCAGAAGTTTTAGTAATAATTTGCTTTTATGGGGACAGAAAAATTAAGAAATTACTTAACTAATGTGCAACCAAGAGAGTCCTTTTCAATAACATACAATTTTAAAACATTTCGTTGTTTCTTTGAGTGCACCCTTAGTTGTCGGTACATTGGACTCATTTCAAACACACACACACTCACACACTTGCACTTAGACGGGCGCACACAGACAAAGAGCTATTGCAAAAGTATGTCTGTGTCGACGTCGCCTCATTTAGCTTCTCCTTCTGCCTCCTTTTCCGCCCCCCTGACCCGCCCCCCGGCGTCTACGCCCGCGCCGTTTCTAAAAACAAAACTCTTCCTTCTGCCGCTCCTCCGTGTTCTTCTTCTTGGTCGTCGTCTACTTGCTCTGCTTCCTTTATTTGCAACATACATTATATGCCAACCGAAAGAGAGAGAGAGAGCGAGAGGAGAGAGTGCTGCCTGCCCGTTCGCACACTTGCAATCGCAATCGGCAAAGTAAATGGAAAGGCCGCCAACAACACTAAGCAAACGGAAAGTGAAAATTTGCTCCACTGACAGACAGCAAAAAGAGAGAGAGGGCCGTTGGCTCTCTCACAGACACAGCGAAAAGCACTAACATACACTTGCATTGAGTCATAATCGTGTCGATTGCAGCAGCGACGTCGGTTCTCTCTCTCTTCCCCTTTCCTATCCCCCTCTTTCGTTTCCCCCTTGTCCTTCATTCTCCTCGTCATCCCCATCCTTCTTGTCATTCCCCTCTTTCGAGAAAACATAGACCAGATGATCACTTAGCCCTTTTGACGTGGCCTGACCCATTTGGCGAGCCACCGATAGCCTTCTCCAGAGAATTGGGGAGAATCCGGAAGGCAAGGGCGGAAGAAAAGGGGCGGAATAAAGGAAGCAGAAGAGCCGGGAGAGTGGAGAGCACTGGGTCTGGGTCGCTGGCTGTGATTGTGGTTGTTGTGTTACTTTTATTCGCAATCGCTCTCGATGTGTAATGATCTTTAAATGGGAAATAATCAGGCCTTTGTTGGGGCATCGTGGAAATGCTGTAATTCGTGTAATTAAAATTAAAAGCATCGCAATTCTTAAAATAGTCTGCGTAATATTCGTAATAATTTAGGGACGGTTCCTTCACCAGAAATCCATTTTATTCATAACCATAACTACTACTACCCGTTACAGGAACTATTTTTTTTACTTTTTTAATAATACAAATATTTAAAGTAATAAATATATTAAGGTAAGGAATACGTTTATCTTTATTTGTTTCTCAATTTGCAAATTTCATACCTAACAATAAGATAGAACGATAACTTAAAAACTGTTTCGGCTTATAACTGGAGTGTTACAGAAATATCTAGATATACGTAGAGGGTTCGTAAACTTTAACTTTTAGGTCTATTAAGGTCGTAATCACAGAGCTTAAAATGTTTTTGGATTAATTTTAACTTCACTTTAATTTATCTGAGTATAGGAACAATTCGAACTAAAACGCTTTAATAAAAAAAGCTGAGCTTGAGATCGATTTTCGAAGTTCTGCAAGTTGGATTGCATTTATTTTTCCTGTGCAGTTAAAAGTAATCCTAACTTGACAACATTCTTGAGGGACTTGCTACCGTGACTGCCCCCCTTCCCTGGCCTCCCCGTTTCCCCAATCCCCAATCCCCTCGAGAATTGCATGCAAATGCGCATGTGGCACACAAATCCCTCCAAACATGCACACACACACTCAGTTGCAGCGGGGGAGGGGAGCGTGGATAGGAGGAAGCCGCAGCAGAGAGAGCCCCAAACATTCGCGTTCGCTCTTTTTCTCTCTCTCGCACGATTACGTTTGTTTGCCATTTTTCGCTCGCAACGTTTTTCGCAATACCATCGGCAGAGAAGCAGCGGCGGCAGCAGCAGCAGCAGCAGAGTTTTCGATTCAGTCGTTCAGTCGGCGTAAGCGAGTCGAGCGAGCGAGCCCCATTCAGTCCGCCGAATTGCCACTTTTCTCTCTCTTTCTCGTCTTGGCTCTCTTTTTGCACCTGTGCAAGTGTGTGTTTCGCTGCTCCCGCGGTGCGTGTGCCTGTCTGTGTGTGTGCGTGAGCTGCGGGGGGGGTGCAGTGCCGAGTGCAGTGGTGTTGGGGCATCGGTGAGTGGGGCGCGCGCGCGCTTTTGCTTGCCGCAGTCGTCGCAGTCGACGTCGCTGCCGGCGTCGACGTTTGTTGTTTGCGCCTAACAAACACTCGCAGCGGTTTTTGTGCTGACTTTAGATTTTAGTTTTGCTGATACCGTAAGAGATAAATGACGTGCCGCGGCGAGCGACGAATTAGCGGCCCAAAACAGAAGAAAACTCAGCAGCCAAAACACAAACAGAAGGCAGAAAGCCAGTAAAAGAAAAACAGAGTCGAGCAACAAGCAAATGTTTGGCCAAGCCAACAAACCTAATGTAATAGCTAAAATAGCGAAATGTGTTTAAGTTAGTCTAAAAACGTCCACAATTAGTGCAAAAAAGTTCAAAATGTTATAAATTTTGGAAAATCTAACGAATACCTCAAGCGTAAAGAAGTAACAAAAGTAGAAACAAACAACGAACCGAGTGCAAAAACTTAGTGCAATTTATCCCCAAAACGAAAGCAAAAAATTCAGAGCCCCAACAAGCTGGCATAAGAACCATGTCAGAAGTGTGAAACGCTGCGTATACGCAATATCGCAATATCGCCGAACCCAATAACGCAGACATCACGCATACGCCGCGTCGTGCAAAATGATTATGGTGCAACATTTGGTGGCCGCCACGGCTCACAACTTCGCCAGCCAGGCGGCGGCATCCCTCGTCAATGTGTCCAGCTCCAGTTCGAGTTCCAGTTCGAGTTCGAGTTCGAGTTCCTCATCCTCGCTCTCCTTGTCGTCCTCCTCGTCGAGCTCCTCGCTGTCGTCGGCCACGCCCACGCCGGTGGCCTCGCCCCTGACGCCCACATCGCCACCGCCGGCAGCCGCCGCGCCCGCAGAAGCCTCACCGCCAGCAGGAGCCGAGTTGCAGGAGGAGGCGAAGCAGCAGCAGGATGCGGCGCTAAAGGACCAAGAAAAGCAGGCGGAGAAGAAACCGGGGGAGGCGGAGGAGGAGAAGGAGGAGCAGGTCAAGGGGGGAGGAACCAGGTGCCATAGTCGATACCGAGTCAGTGTTGGCGCGGCAAAGTCCAAGTCCAGTTGCGCCCACCAAAGTCCCCGAGTCACCAGTGGAGGAGGAATCCCCGAAGTCGCCGCCCGCTAAAGACGACGAAGAGGAGTCGGAGTCCGTTGCCTCGGACTGTCGCGAGTTCAAAGTGCTCTACAATCACCTGCGGCAGCAGCAGCACCACCACCAGTCTCCCGTTTCCCCGGACAAGACGCGCAGCACTTTGGACGACGTCTCCAAGATCCTTTGGGAGCGAAAGCAGCAGCTGCAGCGCAGCTCCGTGATTACCGCCGCACCCACGCTGCAACACCAACACCAACACCAACAACAACACCAACACCAACAACAACAGCAGCTGCAGCAGCAACCGATGAGCGACATCGAGGACGAGGAGACGCTGGAGGACGTCGACGATGCGGACGCGGATGTGGAGGCGGACGGCGAGGACGAGGAGCTGCTGGAGCAGTACCAGGATGGCTACGACTCCCCGCTGGACTTGTCCCTCGGCGGGGCAAGCAGTGCCGCCGCTTCGGCCGCTGCAGCAGCCGCTGCTGCCTCGGCGGCCAGCCGAAGAAGGGGACGCACTTACTCCGGCACCGAGTCCGACGACTCCGCGCAGTGCGAGCGGGCCAGGATGCGTCTCAAGCCGGAGCGCAAGGCGGAACGTTCGGCGGCCTACAAGAAGAGCTTGATGAAGCGATACTGTAAGTGGCAAAAGTTCGTGCAACAGTCTTTGAAAACACATATGATTTATAAGAAAGACCACTTCATTTTCTGGGAATTCAAACTTTTTAATACAAATATGGAAATATGTACATAGATTAATTAGGCAGCCGTTAAAATAAAAATCTTTCATTTTCCGGTCATGAAAGAGATTTCATATTTAGCAGTAAAATGATAATGCCACTAAAAAATACATTTTCTTAGAATATATAAAATATATAGCAAAGTTATCAAATTATGACAAATATTATTCCCATAAAAATAACCACATGTTGAAAACTAAGAAACAATTTCAGCAAAAGTTCAAGTCATATAAAATCTATATTTGAACCATTTCCTCTATTTTTGACAATCTGTTGTCGCTTTTTGCTGGCTGTTTGTTGTTTTTTATACACTTGACCACCGAGTGGCAATGAATCAGCCTAACAAGCAACTCCCCCGTGTTTCTTTCACTGGCCGAAATTGTGAAATGTCAATTTGGCAACGGCAAGAAATGTTTATAACGAAAACAATGCACAGAAAAAAGAGTCGGGCAGCCAGAGGCGAAATAAACATTATTTAAAATAGCGCAATTTCCGCCGGCGGCGCTGCTGCGTCGCTGCTGCTGCTGCTGCGGTCAGAAGCGGTAGAAGCATTAAAAGCGGCAGAAGCGGTAGAAGCGGCGGCGGTAGAAGCAGCGAGTCTACGTCAAAGGCTTCGTAACAGTTTCCTAACCCACCTCAACAATTTTATTGATTACTCGAGGCGGCAAACGCCACACGGAGAGCACGAAAGGCACCAAAAAGAGAGCGGCCCCGTGTGTCTATAAACTATTGCGCTCAGCTGGCTGGGTTTCTGTTTCGGTTTGGCTTTGGGTTTCTCTTTCAGTGTATTGGTATCCCGTATCCGTATCTGTAAATGTATCCGTATCTGTAGCTGTCTCTCCGCTCGCCGCTGCATTCGCTAGTTTGTAACGCGTATCTGTGAGTCTGCGGGTCTGCTTTTCGCTTTTCGCTTTCGGTGTCGCTGTGTTGGTGTGGAATAGTTTCCCAGTCACTTGCTCTAAAACTGCCACAGCAACTCGCCAGCTCGCGACTGGCAACTGCTAAATGAGCTGGAGACTCCGACTTGGTCTTCTGTAAATGTATCTGTATCTGTATCGCGGTATCTGTGTCGGTGTGTCTTGCACTTGCTACATGCCCACCACATACATACATACATACATATATATAGCCAAGGCATATATATTTTAATACATATGTATATCTGGTAACCCTAGCCAACAACTTGTTTCCTCTATTTGACTTTTACACGGGGCGTCGTCGTCAGCAAAACGGCTCCCGGGCTGCTGCTGCTGCCACTGCCTTCACTTTTGCCGAAGTTTACCCCACTTTAGTTTGGCTTTTCGCTTTGATTTTCATTTTGATTTTGATTTTGGCCTGGGCTCTGGCTTTAGCTTTAGCTTTAACTTTGGCTGGAGCCCTCGGCTTTGGATACACACTAAAACCGCCACTAAAACGCTGCCTGCCGATTGCAGTTCTTGGCCAAGTGGCTGAAATGCGGCGGAAATGCTCCTCTTGCTCACATCTGGCCAAAAGTGGTCGCCGCCAACAGATTTATGCAGTGTGTGAAATGGGGAAGCAGCCTGCAAGCCAAAACTAATGCCCATTTTTAAGGACGGCAGAACTGAAAGTGGAGATCTTATTGGTAATCAAATGGAAGAGCTTGAAGTTGTTCGTTTTTACTGCCAATAAAATTAAATGATCATCCTATGGTGTTATGGGTAAATTAGCGGATCGAAATAATAACATTAGTTTCAATGTGCAATTAGTTAGTACTTGAATGAATATGTAATATAATTCTATGAAGCATTCGAACAGAATTATATATAGTTCAGGTGTAGAAAAATCACAATTTATTTGATAATTTGTTATTAATATTTATATTAACCTTATTAACATTTTTAATGACTTTTAATGTAAATATTAAAATTCTTTACAATTACCCACTTAAAATGTGATTCGTTGAAGTAATGTTACTAGCTTCTGCTAAGCAATTCCTAGAATAAATATGACTAAAAGTATTTGTATGCATATTGATTTTTTCGAATCTATAAAAATTCCCTAAAATTACTTACTTAAAATGCAATTCGTTGAACTGATATTTCTAGCTTTTGCTTAGCATTTTCTGGGTGCACTTTTAATAAACATTTTAATTTATGCCAATCGATTTGGCTGGCTTCCCTCATAAATCGCATGGCTAAAATGATTGGGAATACGCAAAATCCCCCACTGGAACCCCCCCTTTGATCGCCTCGCTCCAAAAACTTGCAACTTCTGTCGAAATATTCCCGTCAGTCGGTAAATCTCTTGGGCTTCCTTTCCTCTAGACTCCATTTCGGACTTTATTATTTATTTTTCGCACACAAATTCCTAGATGATATATATTTTCCGCTTGCGACACGATGAGCATTTTCATCTTTTATTTATATGTGTTTTTTAACCTTTTTTCTGTGCTGGCTGCTTGTGTGCTTGCGTTCCTCATGACTTCATTTTGTGGGGCTTTGTTTTGGTTTCTGGTCTTACCTTCAACCTTTCGACGCCACCAACAACAACAACAACATGAAGAATGAAAAACAACAACAACAACAAGAGCGACCACAGTATTGAACCACCCACACATTGGGGCAGTGGAGGCAACTTTCAATTGCGACATGCGGCGGAGAGCGGTTGGCTCTCTTTTCCGCTGCCGCTGCCTCTGCCGCCGCCTCTGCCGCCCCTTTTTCCCGCAGCGTTTCCTTACATGACAAACCAGCTTGGAGCGTCTGTGTTTGCTCAGTCTATCTGTGTGTGTGTGTGTTTGTGTGTGAGTGCGCTGTGGGAAATAGTGAAAAAGAGCGCCCCCCGTCGCCAACCGCCCACCGCCCGCCACCCAACTCAACGCTCTGTTGCTTTTTTTCAGGCCTAACGCAAAACATTTTGAGGTAGGTTGGGAATAGATTGGCAACAACTGCGCGCACACACAAACCAACATACACACACTCGTACTATATCGCACACACAGAGCGTGCGCGGAAAAACTTAAATTTCTCGTTTCGTGGCAAGAAATTAGCAAATGATTTTCCATTTTTTTTCGTTTTCGCTGGCTTTTTTTAACCCAAATACGGCGGCGGCGGCGGCGGCGATTTTTTCGCATTAGAATTATGTAAGCCGCTGCCCCATTTAGCAGGCCCATACGTATACGTATCTTTCCGCGGTTCAGATTTTGTAATCGCCTCTGCTCTCCTCATAATTGGCCAATGGAGGTTCTGCTCGCTCGGAGCTTATCTCCTTATCGGCGAGCCAAGGGGAGGCGCAGGCTCCCCCGATTCCTAGTCGCAGGGATTATGTCATTGGCCGCCGCCGAGCACAACGTAACTCAATTACAAAATCGGATTAGCAAACTCAAGAAATCGAACCGAATCGAGCAAATGATTCCCGCTCGCGGTGCAGCCGATGTGGCCATATGGTCAGCGGACTGCCAGCCGAGTGCAATGGGTCGGGTCAAGGCCCAAGACTTGTTGCTGCTAGCTGTCCAATTCGCGACACCGAGTCGTATACGTAACGCGGCTACCTAGAACTTGCAGCGCTTACCGAAACTTCCGTTTTCGGAGCTGCGCCGCCAAATTCTTGAAAAACCCGCTTTAAGTGCAGTGAAATACCCAAACTCATATTGTTTATTGATGATAGATCATACTAAAAGCATTTACAATATAGAAACTTTATTTTTTAAAGGGGAAAACAAACTTTCGTTTTCGAAAAGGGAAAAAGTTTCAATAAATCTTTTTGGTTTTTGGGAAAGTTTTTTTTAGCATATAATATTAGATTTGTAATCTTATGTATCTATTAAAAAATTAAGAGAAAATTAATTTGATGAATGAAATTCTATTTTATTTCCTTTAAACAATCTAAAAACATAGTTTTCCTTCTCAGCTGTAAAATTAACAAGTTCATTTAGAACTTATACATGCTCATGATTAGCTGGTTAAACAATTAATAACTTCACAATTCGCGAGCAGAATAATTATATTCACATACAATTAGCACTTGTAACCACATAAAAGCCTGACGCGTGACTAAAAAATGGATTTTTTGCTGTGTGAATAGAAAGTGTTAATTTAAACAGAAGCTACCATGAGTGACACAGCATTTGAATGCAAAAAGACTTTTAAATCCACAATTCGAATGAAGCCTATTCATTTTTTATAAATTAGAATGCTGTTGTGAAAATTAAATATAGGTCCAGATGCTTTTTACTCAGTTATGCAATATTAGATAAAAGGCAATAAACAGACATTTATCGAATGTGCCTACCGAAACAATAAAAAACTTATTTATAGCAAACAAAGAGGAAATTTATCTCTTCAGCACATGACAAACAATAAATATAATAAATAATATATTTAAAAAACATTCGCCAGCGCATGAAAAAAATGCATTACAAAATCCCACTTAAGCAATCGCAACAAATTCGAAAGGAATATAAAATCATCTTCCCTGGAGGCAAATGCGTCAATCTATATGCATATTATACCACACCATAAAACAAATAAAAGTACTTAATGACAAATTAAAAAAAATATCAGCCCAAAAAAATACGAAACAACAGAAAGTATATAAAATTACATTATATTTCCTTTTGTGCGATATGAAGATTTTCGAGTATAGAGAAATAGCGGTCATAAAAAATGCAAAAAACAAACGAAACAAAAATAAGAAGAGATGGAAGCGAATTCTCGTATCATTTCTTAATGCGGAAATATTGAAGAAGAATTTCTGTTGTCTATATAAATACGGGTGTGCGTTTGTGTGTGGATTTATACTAAATGCATATGAAGCTTAAACAAACATACATTTTGTACGACAATGAGAAATTGCCTGATATGCATATGTCTCAATGTGAGCGAGTGTGTGTGTGTAAACAATGAGAATCTGGTATCTGTGCGAACAGCGTGTCTTTCGCTGGTGTGCGTTATCCGCGAGACCTTGAACTTGAGACTGAATTTCCAAAAAGCGAACACACAGATACACACGCGAAAAAGCGAGAGAACAACAACTGGCTTTTATTCTGGCCACAAACACATGGACATCCGTGAAAGCAGCGACGTCGGCAGCGGCATAAAAGCCAAAATAAGTCGGCAGAACAGGAATTAAAAGAGCACCGGAGAGCGGGAGAAAGAGAAAGAGAAAAAGGGGAATGGGCCTGGGGATCGGGAAACGGAACGCGAAGGGAATGGAAATGGAAAAGGGAAGGGAGTGGGAACGGGAACGGGAATGGGAATGGGAACGGGAACGGGAGTGGGAATATTGGGGATCGTTCAAAACGAGGCAGACGGAACCCGAAAAATAAAAATACAAAATTGGGGAAGAGGCATTCACACCAACAACAAATACTACAATTGCCAAACAAACACATAAATTATAATATTTAAATATAGAACTTTTGCGTTGTTGTCGCCCGTTCCTGTTGATTTTGTTTTCAGCTCTTTGTGCATTTTACTTTCGTCTGTCGCGGCTGCATTCGAATTAACTCAAATTTTGCTTTCTTCCACCACACCCATAACGTTGTTGTTTTTTTTTTGGCATCGCCATAAATTGTATTATTATTATTATTACTAATGGTAATAAATAAATAAATATGTATCCCAGTTGAGGCACAATTTGATTCCGGTTTGGCGCTTTATTGCGCCGCACAAGTGAAATTCCCGATACTAAACAATTTCTAGTTGTTATTGTTTTTGTCGGTTTCGGCCATTCGGGGAATTCATGCGGCATCCATCGCGGTTTTTTGTAATAGTTTTTTCGTTGAATAGAATTTGAATATGTTTTATTTGCTGGTAAACAAGTAGGGCAAGGCAATTTTATGATGGATCATTTGCAGGGAGTCACCCACTAAATGTCTACAAAATGCTCATTCATTTAAAATTTGTTTGTGATGTTTTCATATTTTAAGATATTATTTGATAAACAAAAATTCACAGTAAAACATACGTTTCGAAATTCTTTGTTTTTACATATATATTTTTCTGTTAAGAGAAAAGGCAAATAGCTATAAATAAATGAATATTGTTTTCACTAAATATAATTTTTTTACTGCAAAATGGCAATATAATAGTTGAACGTATATTTCGCTGTAACTTGATCTGCCAAACCAAACCAATAATCTCACCCATAAACTTCGAAATATACAATTTCATTTGCCTACTTTCCACCGATTAATGTCAGATGAAAATACGCTATGTGCGATAAAAGTTGAGCTCAATAGGTAAAACCCACACAAAAAGTCACTTTCCGTTTCTTACCAAAGCCGCCCACAAGTCACAAACCTCGTTGTTGGGCCCATCAAAAATAGGCCAATAACCAAAATGCCATAAACAATTACCAATTGCTGCTGCTGCTGCTGCCGCGCTCGTGTGCAATTGTTGTTGGGCAGACAGACGGGCAGCTTCTACGGCTTTCGGAAATGCTACGAAAATTGTAAACAAAATTCAAGCACCTCGGATGACGCCTTATCCACCGCAAAAAAAGAAAAAAACAAACCAGAGTCCAAATAAAACAAAAAGCATATCGTCTCTATAAGGCAAACTAATCATGGAGGTAACAAGCAACGATGGCTCGTACCTACATTGACCTACTATTGCGGCAAATGCTGCGCTATCCGCCGGAATTGTGATGTAACTGTCCCAAAATGCCGCGCACATATCAACGAGCCAGTTCAAGTCCAAATTCGAATTCAACGAAAGAAAAATAGCAAAACCCACCAGCTCACATGCACATGACTTTACCGTTAATTTCTTTGACATGTCCATGTGTGTGTGTTTGTGTGTGTGTGTGTGTGATTGTGTTGCTTTTTTATTATTTTTTGTTGTTTGCCAATTTTGCTTTGTTTTCTCGTAATATATTTAATTTTTTTTTCGTATATATGAGTGTTTTGTCGGTTGGTTAGTTTCTGCTGGTTTTATTAGACCGCATTTTTAGAGGTCAGCGCACATTTGGCGCAGCATTGCAATGTTTTGTAGACTCTATTACCACTGGCTATTTGTCTTTCTTTCTGCCGTGTTTGTGTTTGTTTATGCACCATTAAAGCTGAACCTCTGGCGGTCCAATTGTCGGTTTCTGTTTCTTTCTGTTTTCTTTTACCGTGGGGGCGCCACGAAATTGGTACAGTGAAAGCTCTGGACGTAGGAACGCTGCTCTTCTATCAGGAAATCTTAATTCTTCGCCTTCCTTCCGTTGCTCACTGGGCGTATGCGTAATTTAGCTGGCCATATATTACTCATACGACTAGTATGCCTTGCAGGAAGTAACCGCTCACGTACAGACATAAACTATTTCACCGCGTATAAATACCATATTTCGAAATCCCTGGAAATTTCTGGTCTTAATAAAAAGTTGCGATCTGAGCACTTGCTATAAATATTTAAAACCGGTAATATTTGATAGTTTTTAAAAACAAAACAAATATAGTATGAATGCTTTCGCCAAAATCGATTGTTTAAACAATTTTCGCAAGCCAATTAAGACAAGATTGATAAGAATTACAATACATTTAATCTTATATTATAAACCTATTATAACTTTACTCCAACCAACTTGTCGGAGGCCACCTGCAACAAATTACGCATACGACGCGTATGCCGCAGTAAAAAACAACACGTGAACACTTCCCCACGGAACATCTAAAAGAAAAACGCAGACAAGCGCAAAAAATCGACGGGCAAGTGACGGGCATTTCCGACATTTCCACTTCGACAAGCGATTAAAGCGCCAAGTAAATAGAGGGAAATTCTCGCAACGAAAACTTGGCGAAAAATAATATTTATAATTTCCGTTAAAAAGTTGTGGCCGTTGCAGCAGTAGCGGCAGGCTAATTGTGGGTGGGCAAGGGGGGTGGTGGGTGGACGGGCCGGTGGTTAACCAATGCAACCGCACAGCTGTTTTGTTGCCGCGCGATTTCCGTCACGACTTTGGCTTTTTATTTTTGTGGGTAAATACGCTTTTGTGCTGCTGCGGCTTTTGAATTTTTTACATATCAAGAAAAAATATGGGTATATATATTTTTACATGCTTCTCATTCACCCACGACGAGTGGAGCGGCGGGCGGCAATCAAAACGAGACGACTTCGTTGCACAGTGGGCTAAAGTCGATTATTAAAATAACTTTTAATAATATAAAAATAAATAAATAAATAATTGGAAATCAGCTGGAAATGTGTTTTTACAGGAAACGTTAAAATATTTGCTTGTTGCTATGTACATATGTATATGGTGTTTTTTATATTACAACTGTATAAATATTTACAAGCATATATATAGGTAACACAATAAGCTTGAAAAATATGGCAATGCAAAATAGGACTTTTATTCAGAGCAAAGGAATTGCGAACGTTGATATTTCTGCATGTAGCAGAACTTGAATGGGAATATCTTTGTTTTCTAATCGATTGTTGTTCAGTTTATAACGCTTTATAGGCCTTTTCGCCCAGTGTGCGATGTCGGCTGGGCCGCCGTGTATTTAAAAAGCTGTAAAAAGCACTCGCACACAGCGGCAACATGCAATAATGCAGCCAGCAAAGCATAAATTGTAAACTCGTCGCCGCTGCCGACAAGCCTTGACCTGATTTCTCTTCCTCTCTTGCTGCCACTCGTCTGTGAGTGTGTGTGTGTGTGCGAGTGCTGTGTGAGGGTGTGCGTGTGTGTGTCTGTGAGAGTGAGTGTGCTTGCAAGCTTCATTGCTCCGCTGGCTTTGACGTTTTCCTGCACACTGCAGTTGCTTTTGCTTTGGGTTTGTGTTCGTGTTTGTGTGAGTGTGTGTGTGTGCGTACCGCTTGACATTCAATGCAATTTTTTTCCTCTGCTTATTTTCATGCCGCTGCGGCTGCTGCATGAAATAAGTGAAAATGCACTTTTACTTTTCAGCTGCAGCAGCAGCAACAACAACAATAACGGCAAACGACAGCAACAACGAGCAAAGGAAAGTGAGAAGCTAATTTTTTATTTTTTGCCTTTCCTCTGGCGTTGTTTTTAACGGTTGCGAGTTCATGGCTCACCAAATTGGGGCATTTCAATTGTTTCGTTTCGTTTCGTTTTATTCGTTTTTCCTTTTTGCATATTTCGCTCAACATGACATTTCTATGAAATTATGATGCGAATTTTTGTATTATTAGCCCGTTGGATAGGCATTTTGACAGCTGTGAAGAGGACAGGGGCGTAGCCAAGTGGTTGATATGCAAAAACAAAAAATAAAAAATACCAAAAAGGGGGCCCTGCAAATATTTCGTGAGGGGGCTAAGTATCCGTTTAATTGGAACAGAAACTGGCGGCTGGGGATATGAAAGCGTACATTTTTCTGGTGATTGAAGCATTCACCAGACTTAATTCAAACTGATGTTGCTGAAGGATGTTCAATTATCTTGCTATTACCTTTGCAATTTTTTTGATGGGCATGCTTATTTAGGTTCATTGGCAACATTTAATCATAATTTTAATTGAAGTTGCTGATGGATGTTTATTTTTATAGTGTTGCAAAATCCAAATATGAATTTATAAAACGTATATGTATTATTTATTATTATATATTATATTTGTAACTATTGAAAAACGTATAATTAGTCGCCTATAAAAACAGTCATTATAAAATGGAGTGCATTGTTACAGTAGCTCAATTGATTTATAAAATATTTAAACTGAGTTTAAATTAAATAAACAAATAAAATGTATTCTGACACATTCTTAATCACATTTTTTTTTAACAATGTCTCCTGTTTTCTTGACCATTTCAGACACCGAAATTCCTATTGTCAAACAATCAACGAGTCCGGCACCGCAGCAGCAACACCAGCAACAGCAACACCTGCAGCAGCACCAGCAACAGCAGGCGCACAATGCGGCAACATTTGCCGGCGCCACCGCGCTGCTCCACATCAAGACGGAGCAGAACGCGCTGCTCACGCCGCTCCAGCTGCAACAGCAACAACAACAACAGCAGCAGCACAGCTTGCACGGTGCAACAGGCAACGGTGGCAGCAGCAACGGCAACAGTGCCCACCAGCAGCAACAACCGCTGGCCATTCCGCACCGCCCGCTGCTCCACAATCTGCTCAGCGGCGGTGCAATCCACAATCCGCACCACAGAAACTACACTACGGCCACAACAGGTGAATATACTCTAAGCATATAATATCGATTTCTTTCATGTTCTTTTCAATGATCTCGAAAGGCAAAAAGTGACTGTTAAAGAATTTTATTTAATGTTCTTGTTTAAAATATTCTATGCAAAAGAAATAGCAACAAAAATTACAATTCATTTCCTTTTTTAACATATTTTATTAATAAGTTTTAAAAATATTTAATAATGATTTTATTATAAAGTAAAATGAATTAAATATAATAATACTAATTTAAAGGGAATGCAATTTAATAATTCTAATTTTGAAACATTTTTTGAATTTAAGAAATGCATACTTAAAGTAAATTACTAAAGCTTCCATGCAATTACACTTTTGGCAACGAAACTTGTTATCACAATGCCAATTGAAAAGAGATCAAGTTTTTCTTCGAGTGCAGGCAGTAGTGAGTGAGGCGAGCGTGTCCACCGGCAAGGAGAACCACTGCACACGCCCTCGACTCGATTCGAGCCATATCGATTGCTAATTGCCCTTTTTTCTCGGCTCGTCCTCGCTCCTCTTCGCCATGTCCCGTTCGCAGGTTCATTTCCGCCCAGTCCCGCGGACAGCGGCGTCTCCGACGTGGACAGCTCCAGTTCCGGCGGCCAGCCCTGCGCCGACGAGCTGAAGGCGCGGCTGGGCATGCCGGCGGCCACCTCGGCGTCGGCAGCGGCGGCGGCAGCAGCGGCGGCGGCGGCAGCGGCACACCTGCACACGGGCACCTTTCTGCATCCGAATTTATACCAGAACAATGCGGCGAATTCGCTGCGGAACATATGGAATCGCAGTGTCGGGGGTGAGTATACAAGTACTTCCATGTGTCTCAAATAAAAGCGGTTAATTCCAACTGTATGAGCAGGCGAACTTTTCTTTAACGAGCTCCTAAACTTAATCGATTCATTAGGAGCTTAAAACAAGTACAAATATAGTTAGCAAATAAAAGTCTATGCCTTAAATCCTTTTCTTTTAACAAGACTGTTTAGACATCCCCTTATAAATGTATGAGTATAATATTCCCTTTTTTAAGCAAAGCATTTTGAGTTACAAATTTAAAATACTTTAGTGTTAATTGTTAATCATCGAAATTGTATTTAAATCATTTTTCGATTTCCCACCGAAAAGTAAAGTATTTACTTTAAGTTAAAGAATGACTATTCTAAGCAATAAACTCCCTTTTTAGCACAGATTGTAAGCTTAGGTAAACCACACGACTATTTTCGGGATTTGATCTCAGCTTAGAACGGTTTTATCTCGGCCAATTAATCATATGACCTAATGAGGCATTTGCATTTTGCAATCAATCTGAAGTTGGTATAATCTGTTGCATACATAATGCACTCCTAATCCAACTTACTCTTTTTTCAAAAATGTCAGGCAAACAAGGCGCACACGAACACACATACGCCGCAATCAATTGCAATTGAGATTGTGTTGCACTCGCTGCTTTTATGCTCTCCGTCAGCTGTGCGTGTGTGTGTGTGCGCGTTGCTGTATAAAAATCTGTGGTCATCGACACATTGCCTTTGCGCAAATTGTGAAGGTCACAACGACAACGACAGCAAAAGCAACACGAACAGCAGCAAAAACAACAGCAACAAAAGCAGCAGCGCCAATGTGGCAATAATGGAGCTCATGAGAGCTCCAGCTCTCTATCTTTCTCCCAGAATGAGAGAGAGAGAGAGGGAAAGAGAGAGTGCCAACACCAACGCAAATGCAACGAACGAAACTCACGAGCACCACACGAACAACACAGCGTGCGTTGCTCTCTGTGCAGAGTGTCTTCGTGTTCGTGAGAGAGTGCTGCTCTGCTCACTTTTGTTTTTATTCAGTCTTCCCCCCATTTTGCACCTCCAACACCCTCGCCCCCCCCTCGAAATGGTCCATCCACCGACTACCGACTGCCGACTGCCAACAGGCTGAGCCGCGAAATTGGGCAACGGCAACGCCGGATGTAAAAAAAATAAACTTACTAAATAGCGTACAAAATTATACCTGTGCAACCACACAGAAACAGAAACGGTGTGAAATAGTCGCGAGCGATCTGCGATCTGGACACCATGGGATGAATCGGGTTGCCCGCAGACAGATATTTTTGGGCATATTCTTAAATTTCGAAACACTAAATTTCAAATGTCAAGCGGAGGGGCTATAAATCTCTCTGTTCAAGCTGAGATTGCAGGTTTTCGGGTGTTACACATGCGGGTTTCTGCCGTTCACACATATTATATGTAGCTTTACCACAAATATTGTTTTTCAAATGAACATTTTTAGCCTGATCATATAAGAATGCCTCTTAACTGTTAATAATATTGTATTATGATAACACTAATATGATGAGATTTTCTTATAATGAAAATTCTGTCATTAGGATCATGGCAAATTAAGTGTACAATTTTGCATTATCATATATAAGCATACAATGTAAAAGAAATTTGCACTTTCTAAAAGAGTCTAAAAGTATGCTATAAATTAGTCAATAAATAGGATTAATGTTAATTTTAATTATTAATTTTTTTTTTTTTAAATGAAACTTTAGTTGTTTTGAAGATAACTAATAAATTATTGGTATACTATTAAATTTAATAGGTACTTCAATTTTAAGGACCACAAAGCCTTTGCAGTTGGAATAATTGCTAACAGAATAGTGGCTAAGCGGACACTTAGTTTCTCAACCTAAAGAAATTTTTTTTATATTACTATAGGTTCTTTAATTGAGGAATTATTAAATATAATTAATTTCACCACGTGCTAATCCGATTTCCCGCTTTTCCCCTTGCAGTGCCCGACAACTATTACGGAAGCAGTGGCGCCGGCAGCGCGGGCGGGCAGCCGGGAGTGCCGGGCAACCCGCAGACGCCGGGAGGCTACCTGGCCACGTCCTACTTCAGTGCGCCGTCAGCGGCGGCGGCGGCGTCGCAGCGCGGCAACCCCATCAACGGCTATCATTCCCTGCACCAGCAGCAGCAGCAACAGCAGTCGCAGCAAGCGCAGCAGCAGCAACAGCAGCAGCAGCAGCAGCTGACCCACCAGCAACTGTCGCACCAGCAGCAACAGGCGTTGCACCAGCAACTGTCGCACCAACAGCAGCAACAGCAGCAGCAGCAACAACAGCAGCAACAACAACACCCGCACTCGCAGCTGAACGGTCCGCATCCGCACTCACATCCGCACTCGCATCCGCACGGACATCCGCAGTCGGGTGCCGGCCAGCACACGCATTCCACAATCGCCGCCGCGGCCGCAGCAGCCGCCTCCGTGGTAAGCAGCAGCAGCAGCGTGGCAGCGGCGGCCATGCTGAGCGCCAGTGCGGCGGCAGCGGCGACAGCGGCGGCGGCAGCAGCGGCGGCGGGGGGCGGCGGGGGATCGCAGAGCGTGATCCAGCCGGCGACGTCCAGCGTCAGCTACGATCTCTCCTACATGCTGGAGCTGGGCGGCTTCCAGCAGCGGAAGGCGAAGAAGCCGCGCAAGCCGAAGCTCGAGATGGGCGTGAAGCGGCGCAGCCGGGAGGGCTCCACCACCTACCTGTGGGAGTTCCTGCTGAAGCTGCTGCAGGACCGCGAGTACTGTCCGCGCTTCATCAAGTGGACGAACCGGGAGAAGGGCGTCTTCAAGCTGGTCGACTCGAAGGCCGTGTCCCGCCTGTGGGGCATGCACAAGAACAAGCCGGACATGAACTACGAGACGATGGGCCGGGCGCTGCGCTACTACTACCAGCGCGGCATCCTGGCCAAGGTGGACGGCCAGCGGCTGGTCTACCAGTTCGTCGACGTGCCCAAGGACATCGTCGAGATCGACTGCAACGGCGTCTGAGGATCAAGGGGGTTCGCCTGTAAATAGGATTCGATGCGATGTGCGATCCAACTGGAATGGAATGGCAATAGGTTCTCTGGGTTGGGGCAATTGTGAAAAGAAAACAAATCAACCGGCTAGCGGCAATAGTGGCTGAAACAAAAGGCCACGCGAGGTGGGGATTTCTTTGTATATGCGTTGAGTTTTTGGTTAGCCAGCGATAAGCATAAGTTACACATAGCTGATAGTCCCAATACGCGTAAACATATACTTATATATACATGCATATATATTCACACCCTGTGTCCTGTACCCTATACATACACCCAGCTAAATCGGCTAAATCGGCGGTAATTGATGATCTATTCATTGGCGTTAGTGTTGTACTTGTAACTGTAGTTCTACCTGTAAACTGTAACTGTAACTGTAATGAATATTGTTATTATTGGTTATTATTATTATTATTACTATTATGAATATTATTATTGCTATTGCTACCAGACCGAATTGATTCATATTGATATTCGATAAACGTGTGTAATATGTAAATGAGTACGAGCCCTTATAGCTGCAAGAAATTCTCCAACTCTAACCCTAACTCTATCTCTATCGATCTAAATCTAAATCTAAAGCTAAATCTAAATCTAAATGTATATGAGTATGTATATGCCTAGCCTAATACCCTTTCAACTGCCCCCCAAAACCCCCCCGCTGCCCAAGGACAAGCACAGTGCAAGAAAGGATGTGAGCCTTACCTTTATATAGATGCGTATATATGCGGATCGGAACGATCTGCGCGGTGTCTGCGTGCTTGGGCTAATTGTTTTTGTTGCTTATTTTATAAACGAAGAGAGATGGAAATTTATTATTTCATAGTTTTAGCTACTTTTACGATTACGCCTAGGTTATTTATTTAAGTGTTTCTCCAGCTAAACCCCTTAACTTCGCCCCCCAAACAAAAACACAAAACACACACACACTTCCTAACTGGAGCTGCGAACCCAGATAACTGGTGGTCTAAACTTTCTTGTAATTATTATTTGATAAGTTTTGTATATTTACAACATCAACAGCAAAAAGATGATCATGATAAATTCGAAGACAAGCACTCCTTGAGCCATCGTTTGAGCAGTCTTAGAACAGCAAACCAGCCAAACTCAATCCTCTCGATCTGAAGTTTATCTTTAAAGCGTAAAGTAATCAAACGTATTCTTGTTAACGTCACACTGCCAGAAATCGAACAGAACCGAGATACTGACCATAGTTTCAACAACCTTAACTGCAACTGCAACTGCAACTGCAACAGCAACCTGCAACCTGCAATCCTCAATGCAATATACCGACAACTTTTACAACAATTTCCAAACACTGCCCAAAACGTGCAATCTCTTAGAAGGAAACTTTGAGCCTTGAATAGGAAAAGAGAATAAAACCAACTCCTAGTTCTTTAATCTATTTCTTTAATAGTTGCGTTCTCTAAGTACCTTTATCTATTATCATTATTATTATGTGTACGTGAAGATGAAGTCTACAATATATCATTTTGTTTATGATGATTGGTGATTGATGATGCAAATAAACAAAGTGAGTCTTGAGTTCAACTCTGTTCATTGTAAACAATTTTTTATGATTATTTTTTATTTTTTAAATAAAATTATTATTTCAATTCGTGCATGCGTTTTATTTACCTTGAAAAAGAAATGCAAACAAACAGAAGAAAGCAGAAGAGAGCAAAAGTAGAAAGTAAGCAAAGGATATGATACAAATATATGGAACCCGCTACAAATTTGGAATCTAGATATACCTCCCATGAAAAGTACATAAAGTTGCATAAGTTAAAGTGTATTCAAAGTCTATATAGGATGGATTACCGGCATTCAAAGTCGATCAAATATTTTAGATAAAGTCGAATTGGTGTATTTTGTAGTTCTAAGACACAGACACAGTATGAAATTCGACACCACTTCACGAGGTCTCAGTTTATGAGGTTTCCCCGCAGATCATGGATTTATATGTATGTCTATTTATTAGCGTAGGCCATCGAATCTACCATTACCTAGCGTAATTCAGTTATTAGTTGATAGGAAATGAGTATAAAAATGTTATAAGGATGCTAGATACATAGGACGTAAGCACACCCACACAAAGAAGCGAATCGAACCACATATGCAAAATCACGAATCAAGTACAACGAAATCGGTGAATACAAATCTGAGCCACACCCCCGAAAATTCAGCTTTAAATCGAGATAGTATCTTGTAGTTTGATTTCGGAACTCCCAAAAAGACTTTGCCTTCACTCTGATAGCCTAAACACAGTTGGAAATAGGGTTGTTGATAATATATCAAAATATCAATATATCGATATTTTCTTTTTAAAATGATATATTTATATCGTTATTTTTTGTTTGCCTAAATATCGGAAAATCGATATATTTTTTTGATATTTTTTGATATTTTTGTCTTGGTTACTTTGTATTCCAAAGCGACTTCAAGTGAACGAATTCAAGCGCAAAATAATATTTTCGCAAAATGCGCGCAAAAGAAGGAATGTACATATGTGATATGTGTGCGTATGGCCAGATTTCGTTGTCTATGTGTGCATATGTAACTTACGCACATACCACCGAAATTTGGCGCCAAACGCGCACACACACGTTGTATATATATTAATTAGTTTTCATTCTTAGCTGTCCACGAACTTTGAAGGTATTATGACAATAACGGAGACTTTCAAGAATGCTGAAGTAAGGATTGTTAATAACAAAAAAAACGGTGCAAAATTTTCACTTTCCGCCAACGGATTTCGAAGTCCGGACCGCACTTGTAAACAATTACCGAAACTTATTGTCTTTTTATTGTGGGCAGGAAATTTTTTTATTTAACACAAAAAATATCAAAAATATCAAATATATCGATATTTTTCGGTGATATTTAGAAATATTATTATCACATTATTTGATAAAAAAAATATCATCGATACGATATTTTTAAAATTTTCGACAACCCTAGTTGGAAATCCAACCCAAAAGCATTTGAGAATGCTCAGCACGATAATTGTAAATAAACAACTTCTGGACCTCATGATTCCACTTAATTGTAAACGTATTTTATATATATACACCAATTTTTTGTTAAATTGGACAACCCCCGAATGCTGGATAAGACCAACTAAATTAAATATAATCGAATATCGATGCCCTTGGGCAGGATTTCTATTCTAGGCTAAGACAATATAACACTCTATTGGTAACTCAAAAAACGAAACAAACTATATAGCTTTTAAATTGAACGTGCGATTATTTCAATATGTCGGAGAATATGGACGTCGGACTCTCTAAGTGCACGGATTGGCCCTGATTTAGATAAATATGTTGAATGTATTAACATTAGCTACGACTAGTTTACGGCTAACTAACCTAAGTTAAGTTTTTCGCTTGTTTTTTTTTTTCAATTTTTCGTTGATCTTTGTACATTTGTCAGACAAATTTTCAACTGTCTGCGAAGAGAAATCAGCTAAAGCCAGCCACAATATATAGAACATATATATACTTAAATTCATATGTAGTAAGAAAACGAACGTTGGATCGATGACATGGTATGTAGGTGAATTTTATGGTTAGAGGAAAGCTAAAGTGAAGGATTAGATTAATTTTTATAAGGATGCATTAAGAAAATCGAAGCAAGGCAAAAGTCGCAAGCTAGCATAATTATTTACTGTTATGACAACATAAGAGTTTTAAGGTTTTTAGCTAAATTTTGTATATTTTAATCTACAAACTATAAAATATATATATTATCTGTTTTATAAATAACAATAAAACTTAAGTGTGTTTTATTGTTTTGAAATGGTCAACGACAAAGTGAGTACTTGAAGTCTTAAGATTGTTATCATCGGACAATTAATGTTGGCGAAATCTCTACCCAAGAATTTTTGGGTTTTTTATATTTTAAATAAGGGCATTATCGGAGCCAAATTTACTTGGTAGATAGAACTTGCTTATGATAGTTTCTTTCCAAATTTTGTAGTACATATTTAAAACCTTTATAAATAACGTTTTGTTTCCACAACTAAAGTCAGTGCTTCTTAAACTTTAAAATTTATTTCTCCGATGGCTCTAAGTTTAAAACTGTAGGTTATGCTAAAGTGGTTTTATATAAAAATGTGTTCAGACATTAAATTGTAAAACAAAACAACAAAAATGGTTTTTTTTTCTTTTAAGTTATTGTGAAAAAGAAGATAATTACATTTATTTTTTGTTTGTGATACAGTTCTATAACAAGAATTATCTGTTGCCGCTGATCAAGAATGGCACGTTATATAATCGGAAACTATCTTTTACATGTTTCATTAAGTACATTTCGATAAAATATAAAAAATAACATAACATTCTTGCCCGCCTTTAAAAGTATTCTTCTTCGTGTGGTCATTTTGTGGTCATATTTGTACGTGATGTGGGGAATCTCTGAAACCAGGTGCATTGCAAAATGCGTATAGTGAAGACAGGGTATTTATAAAAGTTATGTTTGTAACAAAAGCGCCTGCGTGGTTTGAGACATCGCTAAGTTTCTAGCGGTTTGTATGCATTCAGTATATTTTAGTATATTTTAGGTATTGCGTGGTTTATTTTGGTGAGTAAGCCACTAGGTAGGCGTCCTCGCTTGATCTGGTCACACTGCTGACGGCCATACTTGAAAATACATTTTTTTCTGCAAAGTTTGTCATTGTCACTGTGTGAATGGAATCTGTGATGCGTTGTGGAATTAAAAGCGTGCAGTAAACGACCCGTAATGGTTCAAGTGCCCAACGCGTCGGCGAATGCAGTGCGAATTACTATGAATTGATACGAAAGTTGCATAACACGTCGCCTGGTGTCGCGGTCAGTGTGTTTTTCGTCTCGTTTTCGTTTCCGCCGCAGTCGCAATTTCCAGAAAACCTCACCACACCACACCACCACCATCGCGACCACGCACACACACACACTCGCAAAGTGAGAGACGCGGCGGCGGAAAAAGTGTGCGGACCGTGGATATAGCCCCTCATTCCGAACCCGAATTGGAGTACACCGAAAAACAAGGCAATCGAGTGTGGCGTAGCCAATGTGCTTTGCGTTCCCCTTTGACCCCTCCGTACCGCCGCCACCCCCGTCACAGCAACAACGCACACGGACACGGATACGGATACTAGTACCAATACCAGCGCACTTCAGCACGTCCGACAAAGAAAAATAGCGCTCTCTCTTCCTCTTTGTACAGTTAGTTCCTACAGCTGAATCAGCTAAAAAAAGGAATTAGCAGCGTATCCAGTGGAGCAGATTGCATGTGAAACACGGAGCAGATACCACACAACCCCCACCCACCCCCTGGAAAAATGAGTCTCCTGGCCACGCCAATGCCCGCGGCGGCCACCGCCTCATCCTCCACGTCCGCCTCGGCCAGCGGAATTCCACCCAGTTCCAACAACAACCTGCCGTTCGAGAAGGACAAGATCTGGTACTTCAGCAACGATCAGCTGGCCAACTCCCCGAGCAGACGATGTGGCATCAAGGGCGACGATGAGCTGCAGTACCGCCAGATGACCGCCTACCTGATCCAGGAGATGGGGCAGCGTCTGCAGGTCTCGCAGCTGTGCATCAACACGGCCATCGTGTACATGCACCGGTTCTACGCCTTCCACTCGTTCACCCACTTTCATCGGAATTCCATGGCGTCGGCGAGCCTCTTTCTGGCCGCCAAGGTGGAGGAGCAGCCGCGGAAGCTGGAGCATGTTATCCGGGCCGCCAACAAGTGCCTGCCGCCGACCACCGAGCAGAACTACGCCGAACTCGCCCAGGAGCTCGTCTTCAACGAGAACGTGCTGCTGCAGACGCTGGGCTTCGATGTGGCCATCGACCATCCGCACACGCATGTGGTGCGCACCTGCCAGCTGGTCAAAGGTAGGCACAACCCCACCATCCGATCCCAGCCATGTCCCCTCACATGTCAGATGGTACTGATTACTGTGGTATATTTTAGCATGCAAGGATCTGGCGCAGACCTCGTACTTCTTGGCCTCAAACAGGTATGGCTAGCAATGCGCTATTCTATGGTATAATCACTCCCAGAGAACCCGTCCCTCTCAACTCTCGCGTACGGCGGTGGTATAAGCGATGTGTGTGTGTGTGTGTGCGGGTGTGGAGATTGGCACAATCTCCTCCAGAAAGTGGTCAGGTTCAGAGGCATCCCATTCAAAATTGGGGCCATTGTAAGCTAGAAACATTCCGGCAGCTACCTGCTTGTTTTTTGGCTTGTAGCTAATAGGCCAGGTAACTGGACCGAAACAAAGAAAAGGCGAAGGCCCAAAGTCACGAGATGCAGAAGGACACGCGGTCCCTAATCGCAGCAGGCAGCCAGGCTGTACAAATCCCGCATCTTAACACAAAAAGGCAGTATTTTCGGGTCCCTCGCGGTAATTATCTTCAGTTGCCTGCAATAACATTGTAATTTGTATCGGGAAATCCGCCAAATGTCAAGAAAAATATGTTATTCCTAGAAAAATAGGATTATATAGTTGAGATACCGTTGTAAACCTTTTCTATCTAAAAATCTGCAAGAAAGATTGCCTTTGAGTTGCCAGATGTAACGCAGTAAAACCCTACAGTTTCACGAAAAGTTTTGCATTTCGCGGAAGATAAAAAATTTGCAATTTCGGCAGATGCTTTCCAAAATCGATAACGCCCCTGGGAGAATGCTTAAAATCGAAATACGTAATCTGTGATACTAGTGGTGAAATCCCCCTGCACACACCCACCAAACTGCATTATATTTGTAAACATTTACCAGTCGAATTGAATTGGCGTTAATAAGAGTCACCATTCCGGCACAGCCTGCATCTGACTTCGATGTGCCTGCAATACCGCCCCACCGTGGTGGCCTGCTTCTGCATTTACCTGGCCTGCAAGTGGTCCCGCTGGGAGATCCCCCAGTCGACCGAGGGCAAGCACTGGTTCTACTACGTGGACAAGAGCGTCTCGCTGGACCTGCTGAAGCAGCTGACCGATGAGTTCATCGCCATCTACGAGAAGAGTCCCGCCCGCCTCAAGTCCAAGCTCAACTCGATCAAGGCGATCGCCCAGGGAGCCAGCAACCGGACGGCCAACAGCAAGGACAAGCCGAAGGAGGACTGGAAGATCACCGAGATGATGAAGGGCTATCACTCGAACATCACGCCTCCGCCGGAGCTCCTAAACGGCAACGACAATCGGGAACGGGAGCGGGACAGAGATCGGGACAGGGAGCGGGAGCGGGATCAGTCGTCGCTGCTGCCGCCACCGGCGATGGTGCCGCAACAGAGACGCCAGGACGGCAGCCACCAGCGCTCGTCCTCGGTAAGCGGAGTGCCCGGCAGCAGTTCCTCGTCGTCTTCCTCCAGTCACAAGTTGCCAAACTATCCCGGTGGCATGCCGCCCGAAGTGCATCCAGGTGAGTCCACCTCCCCACTCGGGGAAGGACCGAGCAGCAAGTAATCTGACTCTTTCGCCTTGCAGATCACAAGTCCAAGCAGCCGGGCTACAGCAATCGCCTGCCCTCCAGTCACCAGCGTAGCAGTAGCAGCGGACTCGGCTCCTCGGGAAGCAGCAGTCAGCGCAGCAGTTCGTCCTCGTCGTCGTCGAGCCAGCAGCCCGGTCGACCGTCAATGCCCGTAGACTATCACAAATCCTCGCGTGGCATGCCGCCAGTAGGCGTGGGCATGCCCCCGCACGGCAGCCACAAGATGCCTTCGAGCTCCAAGCCTCAGCCGCCGCAGCAGCCGCCGGCTCCCCATCCATCCGCCTCCAACTCGTCTGCGCCGGGCATGTCCTCCAAGGACAAGTCCCAGAGCAGCAAGATGTATCCGAACGCTCCGCCGCCTTACAGCAATAGTGCCCCGCCCAACCCGCTGATGTCGCGTGGCGGATATCCGGGCGCCAGCAACGGCTCCCAGCCACCGCCTCCGGCCGGATACGGCGGGCATCGCAGCAAATCCGGCTCCACCGTCCATGGCATGCCGCCCTTCGAGCAGCAGCTGCCTTATCTCCAGAGCCAGGGCTACGGCCACATGCAGCAGCCCGGTCCGCAGCCCCAGCAGCAACAGTTGCCCCCGGAGGCGTCCCAGCACTCGTCGCAGTCCAAGAACTCGCTCTTTAGTCCCGAGTGGCCGGACATCAAGAAGGAGCCCATGGCGCAGTCGCAGCCACAGCCCTTCAACGGATTGCTGCCACCGCCGGCGCCATTGGGGCACGACTACAAGCTGAACAGCCATCCGCGCGACAAGGAGAGCCCGAAGAAGGAGCGACTCACGCCCACCAAGAAGGACAAGCACCGTCCGGGAATGCCGATGGGCAACAGCAGCAGCGGAAGCAGTTCCTCAGTCTCGGGATCGTCGAAACCGATGCTGCCGCCCCACAAGAAGCAGCTGCCCCACGGCGGCGACCTGCTGGCCAATCCCGGCGAGGGCGGCAGCCTCAAGCGGGCCAACGAGATCTCGGGCAGCCAGTACGGTCTGAACAAGTTGGACGACTTGGACAGCAGTAGCATGCCGCGCGAGAAGCTGCGCAAGTTGGACAACAGCAGTGGCCTGCCGTCTTATCCGAGCTACGAGGAGAAGCACACGCCCTTGAACATGTCCAACGGGATCGAGACCACGCCGGATCTTGTGCGCAGCCTGCTGAAGGAGAGCCTGTGTCCGTCTAACGCCTCGCTCCTCAAGCCGGATGCCCTGACCATGCCGGGTCTCAAGCCACCGGCCGAGCTGCTGGAGCCCATGCCTGCGCCGTCGACAATCAAGAAGGAACCGGGAGTGGCTCCCATGACCAGTTTGGCTGGAGGCCCCGCTCCAATGGAGCTGGAAGTGCCCACCAAGCTGGCCGGGGAGATCAACATCAAGGAGGAGAGCAGCAGCAAGTCCGAGAAGAAGAAGAAGAAGGACAAGCACAAACACAAGGAGAAGGACAAGTCGAAGGACAAGTCGGAGAAGGAGGAGCGCAAGAAGCACAAGAAGGACAAGCAGAAGGATCGCAGCAGCAGCGGCGGCAGCAAGGACAGCTCGCTGGCCAACGAGCCCCTCAAGATGGTGATCAAGAACCCCAACGGCAGTCTCCAGTCGGGCGCCTCGGCCCCGCTCAAGCTCAAGATCAGCAAGAACAAGGTGGAGCCGAGCAACTACTCGACAGCGTCTGGTTTGCCGGGAGCAGTTGGCTACGGATTGCCTTCGGCGTCGGCTACCTCGACTTTGACCTCGGCAACCGGAGCAGTTGCCACTTCGGCGATGCCGCCCTTCGGCTCTGGCGGTGGCTACAGCTCATCCGGTGGCAGCAGCTCCGGCGGCAGCAGCAAGAAGAAGCACAGCGATCGCGACCGCGACAAGGAGAGCAAGAAGAGCAAGAGCCAGGATTACGCGAAGTACAATGGAGCCGGCGGCGGGATCTTCGCTCCGCTCGGCGGTGCTGGCGCCGCACCCAACTTGGCCGGAAGCATGGGCGCTCCGCTGGCCACCGCCGTGCCGCCATCGATGCTGTTGGCGCCCGGCAGCGGCGTACCGCCCTCCGTCGCCGGGCTGGCACCGCCCCCGCTGCCCGTCTACAACAAGAAGTAGTGTTAGCGGTCAGCGGGTTAGCCCCTAAGTCGAACTTTTTGATATATGTATAGAACCTCAGTAAGTCCGATGGTAGGCTTAGGATTGTTAGGATTGTTGGTGAGATGCATTATTGATTCACTTTAGTTAAGCGCATAGCTAAAACACTCTAAATAGCGAGTCGAATCCAGAGGCGAGATGATAAGAGAGAGAGAGAGAGAAGAAAAGAAAGGAAGGAGGAGAGAAGATCGCGATGGGGATGGATGTAAACGCAAAACTCAAAACGCGAAAACTTTTGTACAGCATTAATTAATTTATAAATATAATAAATAGCATACATATACGCCCACATATATACAAGAAACACAGTCTAGTTGTAAGCGAATTGTTGGAAAACGGAAGCCGCTTCGCAGGCAGAATATTCACAGAGGAAGGAGAGCAGTAATGGCCGTCTAGCATTTAAGTTAGCAAATCAAATACAACAAATACCCGTAACACTCACTGTAAGCTGTATATAGCCACTCACAGACACACATGAACACACACTCACACAAAACGAGAGATAAATAGAACCGACTTCCGCTTAGCAAATATACTAAATACGGCAACAACTAATTGCAAGCCAGACAGAGTAAGAACTTCAGAATAATCCACACACGGAACACATAGGCAGAATAAGCAGAAAAGTTGTTGAAGAGCAGAGGAGAGGAGAGAAGAAAGAAAGCCAGCGCTTTGATTCAAAATTGAAGACGCCAAACTACATGATAAATTATTTAATTAATTAAACACATAGTTGCTAATCCGAAAGTGAATGAGGAAGTTTATCTTTTAGTTTAGTTAGCAAAGTTTTCTATCCTTTTTGAACGATTGCCCCGTTTACCAACCGATTTCCGCATTAGTTTTTCACCCCTAGCAATATATATACAATACAGTAGCGTATTTCCAATGAAGATAACTAAACAGATCTGATTGTTTCAGCGGAGGATATTATTTTTCAAGATCGCCTGAAACGTTGACGTATGTAGCTTTCATTTGTTTTTAATTTATTTTTAAATAGCATTACGAAACGAAACAAAAAACCAAAACAAAAACAAACAAAAAACTCCTTTTACAAAAACGAATTATGCAAACAAAACAAAAACAAAAAAATCCCCAAAACAAAATTTTGAATAAAACAAAAATTGTTGTGCAAGAAAACAAAAAGGTTTAAAATTATGTAAATGCAAATGAAAACGTTGCAAGCAAACTAAGCTAAACGAACGAAACACTAACAAACTGCTAGAAGAAGAAAAACAAAAGTTAGGCATATAGAAACTAAGCCAGATCTATATTATTCGACGAGGCGAAAATGAGAATGAAATGAAATTTTATGTAATTTTCGACTAAGGCAAAGGTTAAGCGAACGTCGCGCGTTTTTCAAAACTATTCGTACTCGTATTCGATTTCTCTACTACTGCATTAAGCTGCAAGCATATATAGCTCTAAACACACACCACACATCCATAAATACACCCCACACAATCGTGAAACATTTACTTTAAGTTGGGAACCCGAGAAACCCGTTTCTCTAATCGATCCATCGATCGTACGAATGCGTAATTTGCATCTAAGATTTAGATTTTCTTTTACACACTTATTCTTGGCAACCCCTAACCACACCCCACCCCGCCCCATCCAAGCCCATCTCCGCCCTCGCCAACGCCCCCTCCTAACTTAGGTTTTGTACATACTTAGAAAGCAAATGGAAAACCCGCCGCTCGGGCGGCGTGCAAGTGTCGGGTTTCATTGGGATTATTAGATTGTGCGTTCGAATGTGAACACTCGACACTTGCCCGCCCCACGAGGGCACGAATAAAAATCTTCAAAACCAGGCAAAAATCCTAAACAAAAAACAATAAAAACGCAAAAAATAAACAACAAAAAAATCAGGAAAAAATTAAACGATCCGAGTGTTTTTATTATGGGTTTCTATGGGGAATTTCTATTGGAATCAGTTCGACTTCGATCGCAGAGAGCTCCACTTTCTAAATGTCCAGTAAGGGCCACGTGAATTGGGAAACCGGTCCAAAAGCGAACTATTGTCACTCCACTTGGATCGCATTTAAATTTCATGAAATTTATAGATCGTTTTATTGAGAAACATCTACTTTTTGTGTTGTAAGGTGATATCGTTTCTTTGGCAGCTTGACTAATTCGGGTAAGTTGAAATATATATTTCGATTCGCCTGGCGGAGCTGATCTGGAATGTGCATATTCACTTTATACACCTCTTGCAACTAAGTAAATATTTCATGGATTAAAATAACTACCACTAACTGGTTTTAGCAGATTAACCAAGAAAACTTTGGTAAAAAAATAAAAATACAAAATAAAAAAATAATAAAATATTTATATTATTTTATTCAATATAAATCTATTTATATCACAAGTATCTCAGAAAAATGCAATTGAGTAAAGTTCTTTGAGCTGAAGAATTTGTTTAATTTATTTAGGAAAAGCCTAAATCAACAAGGAGCAGTTAAGAAATTCCTTAAAAAGTTTAAATTTATAAACAGCTCCGATTTATTCGTTTGCAACTGGTCTTTAACCTTCACAGATAAGATCGCAATGTGTCAGTAATCTTTAGGTGTGGGCGATTACGTGCTCGAGGATCCAGTCCAAGTAGCTGGTGATGCGCGTGAAAACAGCTGGGAATCCCACCTGGCAGCCCATGGAGGTGCCGAAGGAAGTGGATCCGATCAGATAGCTGGAGTTGCCCTGCTTGTAGACCAACGGGCCACCGGAGTCGCCGTGGCATGTGGACTTGCCGCTGGTGGTGCTCATGCAGATCATCTTCTCGGAGACAGCTCCACTCCAGTACATGCGACAGATGGCGTACGGCATCACGGGCATCTCCACGTACCTCAGAACGGGGGAGACCGTTTCGGAGGCATCGCTATCTCTTCCCCAGCCGGAGGCGGAGGCACGGACGGATTCGTAGGTGGGGTACACTCCATTCAGGCGACGTGGCAAGTTGGCGGCTCGGATGCGATCGGTGAAGCTCACAAAAATGGGCAGTCGAATAAGCGAGATGTCGTTGACCACCGTGCTTGCCGTATACTCGGAATGCACTATGATGCCAGACTTCTGGACTAGGATCCTCTGCTGACCCTCCTCTTCCGCATTCTGGATGTCGATGGCTCCCAAATAAACCGTAACGGATTCAGCTCCATCCATGCAATGGGCCGCCGTGATTATCCAGTAGTGTGAGATCAAGGTGCCGCCGCACCAGGTGCTCCAGTTCCCGAAGGACACGTTCAGACCCGCCTGGTAGGGGAACTGACCCACTTCCGCCAGCTCGCCATTGGTGATAAATGGATCCACTTCCGTCAGAAGGGAATCAGCAGCACAGGAGGCGGCCAACAGGACACATAGCAAAAGCTTCATCATTTTAACTCGATTTGGAATAACTGGCGGAGGAAGACTGCCCATTGGTTATATAGGAACGGGTTAAGCCTCCGCCAGCCACATGTTATCACTGATAGGGACACCCTCAACCATGAAGTACCCTAGACCAAGGGGATTACTGCCACGGTCTCACAAAACAACTCACTTCAGTGTGGTGCGCAGTGATTCATTCCTAACCTAAGTCAGCACGTGAGGATTAGTTTACTTTCGGTCTGAGTAGGGCATTAAAGGCTTGGTTTAATGAAACCCCTTCTCAAATAGTTACATCGAAAGAACTTATTTCTGCAAAATCAGTTGCAAGCTTTCCACTTTCAATTGCATTGATAAAAGTAAATGTTTGTACTATAAATATGTTATGTCACGTGTGTTACTGATATCGTTATCTATTCTTGTAATTCCACCAATGTGATTACACTCATTTGATAACCTTCTTTAGTCGCAAAAAAGAAAGCTTTTAAATATAATTTTTTTATTGTATCTTATATAAACAACTAAAGGGAAAAAAAATCCTCCAGGATTTAAAAGACAAATTTTAGTTAAATATAAAGTTGTTTAAGATATAGTCTTCCTCTCATTCTTTATATCGCTGAATAATTTTTAAGCACTAATAAAATGGAGTTCCCTCAATCCAGAACGCCCTCCAAAGTGCTTCAATGGAAGCTACATGATAAATGAAAGCAAGACATATGTATTTAAAATTTTTTTGAAATCAGGTGGCGTTCAGATCTGTCCAAAATGATTACCCATAATCAGTTCTTATGACCGTTCGTACGTCTTTTAGATTAACCCATTAAAGGGGGCCATGGGCCATAAATCCCCATTCGAGTGGGTGGAATACGTCAGTGGTGCAAATAGTTGAGTCCGAGTAACATGCAAATCACTACGGCTTTAGTTTCTCTGCTGATCGTTGTTCAGGGAGGGTCCATTTCTTGTCTGGATTTGGGTCATGGCATCGATGGGCGAATTTCTGGCGGTGAGCTGGCTGAAGTTAATCAGTTTCCCTATCAAGTGGGTTTGAGCATTGAGGAGCCCAACGATATGTTCTGCTGGTGTGGAGCCAGTTTGATCTCCGACCGATATTTATTAACGGCAGCACACTGTGTGGAAAAGTAGGAACACCATTTACCATTTAAAAAAGCAAAATAAATAAATATGAATACGCTTTACAGGGCTGTCGCCATTACTTACTACTTGGGCGGAGTGGAGCGACTCACACCTCGACAACTTATCCGATCGACCAATCCGCAAGTTACCATACATCCTGGCTTTAATTGCGAAACCCTGGAGAATGACATCGCTGTTCTACGATTGCCAGAAGATGCTGTTTCCTGTGACTCCATAAAACCCATCCGGTTGCCAGGAATCTCATCTAGCCGCACCACTTATGACTACGTCCCGGCAACAGCTTCTGGTTGGGGCCGCATGAATGATGGTAAGAACAGAAATTTTAAGATCACGAATTACCTACAAGGATTTTTAGGTAGTAAAAAATTTATAAAAATAAGAAAGTTGGCTTCTGAATTCTTAGGCCTTATTTATTATTATTACCTACTATGTGTTGAAATTGGGTGTGATCAATGATTTTATCTCTAAATTTTGTACATTTTTTGTATTATTTTTTTTGTAAATGTATAAAACTATTTCCGGACGTTGGCATCCCAGTTAAATCTGAATTTTCTAGTTATTAAACTTTTTACTATTAACTGATACATTGTACTAGTACTACATTCTTTTTTAATATTACAAAGTAATTTATTTATTTTATAAAATGTTATGCATAATTAAATTACACAACTGCAATGTTTTTATCTACAGAATCGTCAGCCATTTCGGATAGCCTGCGCTTCGTTTCCCAGTATGTAGAATCCAATGAAGATTGTGAGTACTGCTACGCCAACATAAAACCCACCAACATCTGCATGGACACCACCGGAGGACGATCAACCTGCACAGGAGACTCCGGGGGACCGCTGGTCTACAAGGATCCCTCGCAGGACTCAGACCTTCTGATTGGCATTACTTCCTATGGCAAAAAGTCGGGCTGCACAAAGGGATATCCATCGGTTTTCACGCGCGTCACCGCCTATTTGGATTGGATAGGCGAGGTGAGCGGGGTTATCTACTCTTAGAGTGGCCTCTAATGGCAATTTAAACAGTGCTGGGCACTGAAATTAAATCAAATGTTGAGCATTTCACTTGCGACCATTGCTTTCATTTCGGAGGGGTGGGCGTGGTCAGAATGACACGTTAGAAAGTGACGCAGTTTGCAATTTAAACTGGAAGAGATAACCAGCTGCTTCCTTCTCTCCGTTTTGATAAGAGCCTTATATTTATGGGATAGTCTACTTTTTAGTGGCACACACAAAATGAAAATGTGGTAACAGAGGCAATTGATTAGCCAGTGTGTCCCAACCCAAAACAACGCAATTATCTTTGGTTTCTATTATTTTTATTCGTGATTCTCTTTAAATCTTAAAAAATTGTGATCTCCTATGATTTGTTTTCTTAGTTATTCAAAAAGACATAACTTTACGATACATAACATGCAAAAGAATTAAATGAATTAATTTTCGGGGTTTGACTTAATTTTAGCTTCTACTGAATATTTGAAAACGTTGAACAAAAAACAAAATACATTTTTGTGTTGGCAGAAATAAGAATATTGTTAGGCTTTTCGCTATTTTAAAGTATTAGAATTTGCGTGGCTGAAAACTTACCAACTGTGTATTACGGCAATCTTAACTATTTGCAATAATTTGTATAAATTGAAAGATCTGACGTACTTATCTTTTATTTTTTCGTCAGCAAATTTTACAATCTCTAAAACATAAATACCGCGTTAGCTTTTTCGTTATACTAGGCAATATAACAACAATTTATTTAACCATTTAATTGATCGTTTCTGATAATTGCACTACCTTTATCCGCACAATCTTTTCAAATCCAGGCAAAAACTAAGGCATTGAAATCTTAACTGTTTGGTTATAATTTTTATGAAATTAATTTCATTGAAAGATCTTTATCTTATGATAAAGTTATCTTTTGTTTTCTTCGTCAGCAGATTTCACAAGTCTTATAAAAAAAACCCATATTTACGTTTTTTTCTTATACTAATAATAAAAATAATGTCAAATGATTTAATTAATGGCTTCTGATAACACTGTGCGACAAAAAAATGTTTGAGTTGATTTTTTCTTATTTTTCACTTCTACTAGTCAAAAAAAGAATACAAGTTTTTGGATTTGTTAATATCAATAGCCAATCAGCTTCTACGCACACTCAAAGGTCCCAAAAACGCGTGTTTTTGCATATTTCACAGCCTTATAATACCATATTGGGAAAATATTTTTTCACCGTTATAAGCGTTTTATGCAAGTTCAATATCTATTAATTAAAATATATTAAGCAAATATACCGTTAGGCGTTTATAACAATGCTTTAAAATTTTTTTCTCCCAGCTCTATACTCTGGGCGACTACGTATGGAACTTGTTACGCGAGGATACCTCTGAAAAATCCAAAAAAAATCAGAAAAAAATTTCACTTTTAAAAAAAATAATAGTTTATTGGAAGTAAAAAAAAAAATAATATTTTGTGTAAAATATTTTCATAATAATAATTTCATAAAATTTATCATAAAAAAAGAAATCCTATCACTTAGAAGGTGGCATAAATATTTTTGTGCATAACTTATGCCCCTTAACCGAAAACAATCAAAAAAGTAACTAAAACAAACATTTCGTTAAATTTTGTCGCACAGTGTAATTGCACTTTTCGTTAGCCACAGTCCTTTCCAAATCCAAAGTCAAAAAGTAAAGCACCCCATTTCTAACTATTGGATTATAATTTTTATTAAATGAATTTCATTGAAAGATCTCACGTACTTATATTTTGTTTTCTTTGTTTGTGGATTTATCAAATCTAGGAAAAAACCCCCACATTTCCGAATTGCCGATTGTTTTCGGTTTGTTTTACTATCTTTGGTCTGGGAGGAGTTTTCGCCGAATCACGGCGCCATATCAGAGCGATTTCGAGAGGCACGGCCGATGGGCAGCGCAGATGAAGCTCCATATCTCCCGAACTTCGTGTGCCGATAGACGGGCGTTACACAAGGAGACCTGCTGGCCACTTGAGCCACTTGCTCGCCCGAAGATCAGATAGCGGTGGAGACGTCACTCGATTGGACGGGATAGAAGTGGCTATAAAAGCAGCGGGGTGAGTCCAGGTGGGTCATACTCTTCAAAGGTAGCCCCAACATGAAAGTTCTCATTGTCTTCGCCTTGGCCTTGGCCTACGCCTCGGGATCAGCGCTGCGGTCCGTGGACGGACCCAGCGGTCGGATCACCCACGGCGAGGATGCCCGCACCGACCAGTTCCCCTACCAGGTGGGACTCTCCCTGAAGATCGGCTCCTCGTCGGCCTGGTGCGGTGGCTCCCTCATCGGAAACGAGTGGGTTCTGACCGCCGCTCACTGCACGGATGGGTAAGCAGCCAATCACTTTGGGTTTGATAGCGATTATCAGGACTAAACAACGTTATCCTCCAGCGTCGACTCCGTCGAGGTCTACCTGGGCAGCACCGTGCGCTCCAGCCCCAAGGTGAAGCACCATGTTAGCAAGGACGACATCATCATCCACGCCGACTGGAACAGCCGCACCCTGCGCAACGACATCTCCCTGATCCGCATTCCCCGCGTGGAGTACAGCAGCGCCATCCACAACGTGGAGCTGCCCAAGCGCGAGTCCCGCTACTCCTCCTACGACGGCGATGAGGTGATCGCCTCCGGCTGGGGACGCACCTCGGACGAGGCCAGCGCCGTCGCCTCCCACCTGCAGTACGCCCACATGAAGGTCATCTCGAACAGCGAGTGCAAGCGCACCTACTACTCGACCATCCGCGACTCGAACATCTGCGTGAACACCTCCGCCGGCGTGTCCACCTGCAACGGCGACTCCGGTGGTCCGCTGGTGCTCTCCTCCGACAAGGTCCAGATCGGTCTCACCTCCTTCGGCTCCTCCGCCGGCTGCGAGAAGGAGTACCCCGCCGTCTTCACCCGCACCACCAGCTACCTGGACTGGATCGAGGAGCACACCGGCATCTCCCGCTAAGTTTCCGATTCGGGCATTGAATAAACATTTCCGATATTATTGAGCATACGAATCTTGCGTTTTTTCGGTTATCGGAAGAGCTTTGATTTTCAACTAAATGTGGACTCTTTGGCAGCAGACAACGGAACGCTTAAGGCAATCCAATGTTGTTTTAAACCGAGTAAACCCTTTCGTTGTGATTATAGAAATTGCTTCCACGATTCCTAAATAAAACAGAAGCCGTCTAAATCGGTTGCTGTAAGACGCATTCCTGGCTTATTGGGGAACGGAGATGTAAAATGTAAACAGACCACAACAACTTTTTCAAAGTTGCTAAACTTTTAGAAAAATGTTTATTAAAAAGGAATCGTGCTAATTGTAGTATAGGACGTTTCCAGATTTGCAAAAGCGAACTGCTTTATAAAATGTATTCCAATCCGAACAACAATCTTTTACTTGGCTTCCATTTTAAGATATAATGCATAAAAATCATTTTTTTAGGATGCAGTGAAAACACTTGTTTATTCTCTTTGGCCAAAAATTAAATTATAATTATCATACTCTAAATATACATTTCGTAAAAGCCACGAAAATTAATTTTGATTTACATGTTACAAAACTAAAAGACTTGGATGAAAACGAACGCTTTAGGAGAAATTAATCTTTCTTACAGCTGCGGCGATCCCTGTTCTTCCGGTCCATCGCGGATACCTTGCAGGCCTATAAATATATAGTAGTACCATTATTTAAATATTAACATCCATTGGATATCATTTGAAAACAAATTTAGCTGGGAACGTGTGCAGAATATCTCAAAGCGAACACAGATCATCACAGCACACTTAAATATAAAAATATTTTATATTAGATTTTTATTTTTTATCAGATTTAATTTTATGTTTAAATTTTCATTTTATTACTACCTAAGAGTAAGGATTTAGTTAAAATAATTATGGATTAAAAAAAGTTTATTATCATTGCAAGAATCCTAAAAATGCTTGTCAAAGTCTAAAAACCTTACCATGCGGCGGTAACGATTCTTTTTCTCTTCCGACAGAGCTCGCCAGGCTTGGGCGCCCTGCTGAACCAATTCCCGGGGCTTCAGACCGCAGTGGTGCTTCCTGTAGGAACGCAAAAAGTTCAGATACCCGTTGTTGGTGACCGGGCCGGGCCTGCTACATTTGACACCCGTTTCGCACTCGTCCTTTTTCTTTGGGGCACAAGCGGCCTTTCTGGGTTTGGGCTTGCGACAGGCCAACTTTCGCGAGGGCGTGGCACAAGACTTCATCGGTTTTTCGCGCGATTTTCGGGGCTGGCCGCAAGACTTCTTTGACTTATCCTTGGCCATAGGATAGTTGCACAATAAACATGGCTTTGGAGTATCCTTGACCATAGGATAGCACAATAAACATGACTTTGGAGTATTCATGGCCATTACCGCGATGTCAGCTATTTCCAGGTTGCGGAAACATTTCTTTTCGTCCTCGCTCAGATTTTTCCAGGACTTGGCGGCCTCTCTGGCAAAATGCATCCAATCCAGATCTCCACATTGTTTAATAAATTCGCGCAAATAATTCAAAAAACGCTCGTCTTTCCACAATTCTTTACTGCGACTTGGACTTTCTTCCAATTCGTCTGCTTTAGTGGAGTGCACACTCATTTTGACTAACGAATGGTAGTCGTATATATTCTATAAAATTATGGAAACCTAAAAAAATCTGGAGGGCAGAAATAAAATATTGTTTTGGCTTTATAAAATGTACCAAAATGAGCGATTATAGATAAAGCCAGGATAATGTAAAAAAAAAAGTTTGCGACCGAATAGTAATTTACTAATTTTTTACTTTTGTTTGATTTTTTACCTTCGGAATAAGAAAAATTTGTACGATCTGTAGACGGTGAGATTTTCAGTAAAACTGAAACTTCGAAACGACTTCTATAAAATAAGCCTGATGTGACTTTCACCGATGGCTACGATTGGAATGTGTTGAATTTAATAACGTACACAAGTGGCTTAGCTATGAAAACAATTTCCCGACTCATCCGGGAAATTCAGATGGCATCAGCCTAGACAGCGATGGGGAACAGAACGTTGGAATCTAAATTTAACAGTAGTTAATTGTATCTAAGATTCACCAGCATGGATTGTCTTAAATTGCACAGTATAAGTATGAATAGTTATTAGTTATGTATATGTATTATATATGTAAAATAAACTAGAACTACCGAAATTGTGTTATACTTTTGGGGCCTCATATAAAATGTGGTGTTGCTCTCTCTCTCATTTAAAAAAAATGGAATTTTTACCACTTAGATTTCAAATAGCAGACCAACAGAATTCATTAGATAAGAGTTTTAATTGTGGGAATTTATCTTTTTGTTCGCCTGATACTTTAAAAGGCATTTGGCTGATCGATTGTGACGAGTAAAATTTGGGACTTCGATTTTAAGAACCAGGCCTACAGCATTAGTAGTTGGCGTAATATTTAATTCAAAATTCGGCATATTTAAAAAACACCATCTGGAAGAAATTAAGTCAATATGATCAAAAACAACGGAGTGATATTTTTTTTCAATCTTTCGTATGGGAGGTTTCCGATATAGTCGCCCGATCCAACCTATAAATTAATCATTAATCCCAAAACCAAGCCATAAAAACTATGGGTTACAGTGTCTCGCAACCTTTTTGAAAAAATCTACGTTGCAAAGAATTAATATTTTCTACATTTTAGCTTTTCTATTCTTCAAGATTTTGACGTTTATTCGACCGGACAGAAGGGCATGACTTGTCCGATGATCCTGATCAAGAATATATATCCTTTTGTTCCTGTTTAAATTCTTTATGTCTGCCTGTGACACCCTGATCCAATCCCATCTGGCCGCAACCTCTCCTTAAATAATTTATATGCGTTTTCATCATCTCAAAAAAAACAATTTAAAAGAAACGCACACACCATTGACGCCTATTAAAAGAAATACTTCAAGTTTGAATAACTTAAAATTAACCTTTTTATTGGTATTTATTTTCTTTGTGTCGCCCTTTGACTTCGAAACAGAAGTTCCAGTCCATATACCATTATACCATTATTTGACTTTAAAATTTAATTTTTATAGACTTCCGATAGTTTAATAATCATATTATCATATAGGCCTCCTTCTGCAGAGTTTCTCTTTCGCAATCAACATTTGGAATGTGTGTCTGTTTATAATTAACATTTATACAATAATCATTGATTGTGTTTTTTAAGGTTGTAGTTTTCAGAGTTTTTTGTTATATATATTTGATGTTTGTCTTTTTATTAAATAGTAAAGAGCGACTTTTACGAACTAACATTATTATTATTATGAATACACACACAGTTATACAGAATAGAAAATTTAATTTGTTTAAAAATATGCATCCATCAGATTACAAATATTAACTTGCATTTCATTTTATTTTTTTCGCCTTTAGGTATTTGCTGTGGCCATATGTAGAGGAATAGCGCATAAAAATAACAATTATAAAAAGGTTTCTCTGCATATACATAGAAGATATATTTTTGACTCCATAGATTTAATACTTCGCTTTGGGTTCCTCTCTTCTCACTTAGTTTGTAAAACGTTTTCAACTTTTTACAATTGTCGGCAATGTAATAAATATATTTATATATAATTTGGACTCTTTGTTAGGTTCTTGTGGTTCACCATGCGCAGTTTTATTTGGATCCGTCTCTCCTCTGCTTGTGTAAGGTGTGTGTGTGTGTTGTGTGTGAGTTTTGGCGCCTAGTTAAAATACATACGAAATAACACTAAACTAGCAAAAATGATTATAATACAAAAGCAAACGAACAAATAAGTACACGATCTGCTGGCGGTGCTATCCCAAGTGGATGCAATGAGGTTGCGGTTGAGCCGCTGATTTCGCTGCTGCTGCTGGTGCTGCTGCTCAAGTCGTCGATGTTGTTGATCCTGCGGTTCTTGTGATGTGTGTAATCGTTGTAGCTGTTCCTCCTGCTGGCGCTGCTGAAACTGCTGATGCACCTCCAGCCACAGCCACTCGCTATCACTCCCGTTGCCGGTGTTATTAATCAACTCCAGCGAAGCCTTGGCTGCCCTCGATGGCCTTGATCAGCTTGTCCTTCAGTTGCAGGTAGCCCTCATAGGGCGGCAGGTCCAGGCGATTGAAGCTGCGAACAAATCTCGTTAGCTCAAAGTTTTTATTGGATATGAGGGGAGGGTGTCCCCAGACTCACCAGGTGTGTGCCCTTGGGAAGTTATTGGGCGAGCCCCACTTCTCGATGGTGAACATCTGGGGGCCATTGGAGCCGTACAGCTCCTTGAAACCGTTCATGGGCACGCGTGACGTGCCCGTAACAAACTGCAGCAGACGCGAACGCATCTCGTTGGAGAAGGAGAGCACCGCCCGCCAGAACCATTGAATGATTATGTGGTTCATGTGGTAATCGCCCTTGTACAGAGTGTTCTCACGCCAATCCTTCACATCGATGTTCTGTATGCCGCACATCAGCAGTTCCAGCTCGTGCTCGTCGAAAATCTTAATAATGTTCAGGGGGATAATCGATCCGAAGCCGTCCAGGAAGGACGACATCTGCTCCTTGACACGTGCCACGAAACGCCATTCGATAACCAGTCTTTGGGGAAAGGAAATGCGTTAAAGTCTTTAAATTCATTGGTGTCATCTATCGGACTCACTTGATGTATTCATCCTTGTTGTCGTTGGTCACGTCGATGTTGGCGCCGCCCGGCTTCAGTTCGTGCTGGCTCTTCTGACCGAAGACGTCCTCATCCAGGCAGAAGGTCAGTTCGAGGATGCGCGGGTCGTTCTCCTTGATCCACATCAGGGAGTTATAGTACTCCGTGTCTACAGACTCCATGTCTTTCAGGTCAATGGGTTTCTGCAGCATCATCTTGTAGAATGGACGAATGAAGAAGGCATCCAGCAGCTTTCCATGATACACAGCCATGCCCGCAATGCGGCCAATAAATCTGCAAGTTTAATTGCAATGTTAGAAGACAGGTATACATTAAATATCAAATATATTTACTTAAAGTAACTTAGATGCTCTTCGTTGCACAGACCGCTGCCATTATTTATCTGCAGCGTATAGTTGTCCATGGCAGAGTACTCAAAGAGTCCGTAGTACGGATTAAACATCTCTTTTGATAGCAGATAGAACCATTCCCTAGCGAGGCCACCATAATCTGCGATCAAACAATTTCTTTAAGTATATCAAGACGAGAAATGATTTTGGTTTGCTCACCTAAGCCAGTTTCGGCCTCAAACTCTACCCATAATTTAGTCTTTAGTAAATCGGTCTTGGTCACCGAACTTATAATTCTGTACGAATCCTCCAGAATCGATGTACGACGAATACGTATTTCAAATTTATTTGGTACATTTGTCTGAAAGAAATGCACAATGTTTAGAGAATCTTCCTGCAGAAATATGATTTGATCAAAACTACTTACAGGCTTTCTAATATGACTCTTGAAATACTCGTATTTCTGCTTGTAGTCTCGGGAGTAGGGCACAGCCTGTCCGGCGATGTTTGGATTTGACAAGCGCGGATCCTCCCACTGAGTGGTTCGCGTATCTGCAAAGAGAGTAAAGTTAACTCGACTGTTAAAAGACCAAAAGAAGGTAAACTATCAACTTTTATGAAATACTTATGAAGTTCGCACTTTAGGTCTTAATAAGATAAGGCACAGTATTATTATCTTTGCGGTCGGCAAATATTTAAAGCAGCAATTATAAATGTCAGCTTAATTAATAACTAGCATTCCATGAAGACCATTCACTTATTCGTATACCTTAAAGGCAAGTTGGCCCCTTATCTAGTTTTTTTTTGGGTTATCCTCAACCCACTTGTTTTTTTACTCACTATGATCTATGTAGAACACGCGTCCATCGGTGTGCACCCGCTCCTCCCAACCCTCTGGCAGAGGACCCAGGTCGTCCTCGACGCGACGCGTCTGATTTGGCATTGGGCTGGCCCTACCGTTCCGCGGATCGATCCAAGTGGTCCGCCGCGATGCGTGATCAATGAAGAAGGTCCTTCCGTTGGGGGCCACCTGCATCGACCAGCGCGGAGGCAGCGGCTCCTCCTCGCCTCCAGCATTCTGCAAGACAAGATCGCCACACAACATTAGCCATTTGTTAGAAGGGGACCCCATTTGATAATATCCTTGGCACATGCAGATAAAACATATCTCGAACTTATTTACGTTTTACGTTTCGTGTGCATTAAGGATGGGACAAAAATAGGAGGGAATTGGACTTTACTTGTTCCATTGGAGGCACAGCCGCGTTGTCTTCCTCGGAATTGCGTCGTGTGGACGGAGCTGAGATGTCGGAGGGATTGTGGCTGTCTGTGTGATCGGTGTCTTCATTCTAGTCATTGGTGGGATGGATTATTTTATTCGATAATGTATACATATGGATGCATTGCATTGCGTAAGGTATTTTTGTTTGTTTGTTGGTTTTGGAAGAAACAGAAACAGAAAAGAAGTGTTTATCAAATTAAAATCGAATTATCAAATTGAAAGTCGGTCTAAGAACACAAATCAAGCCACACATGCAAACATAGAAAAGATTAAAACGAATCATAAGAACTTAGCCGCAACTAATTGTACAAAAAGCTGCAAGTAGAAGCAGTGTATGAGGTACCAATAACAACTTGGGGCAACATGCAACACATACGCGCTGATTCTGGGGAGCACTCGAGATGGACTCGGATTACCGCTTACCGCTCCTCCAGCTGGATTACCCCATGCCACATAACAAACACAGATATGTGGGTATTTCGAACACTGACAGATTTTGAGACGCCAAATAGTTTGGGAGTATGTTTTCTAACAGAACAGAATCGAACGAGCAAGAGAAGACAACCATTTTTTAGACTACAAGTGCTGGGATGCGAGTGTGAATGGTGAGGTGCTGACCAGTGGCCGATGTGGCGATTGCTGTCGCTGGTATCGCCGCTGTTGCCCCCGATGTTGCAGCTCCGGCTGGCGGTGATCCGCATCGAGCTACAAGTGAAATGGGTGATGTGGATGGGTTGGTTTTCGTTCTAATTTCGGAAGATGGTAATGTGCGTGTGCTTAAGACTTGCTAACCAATATTCTAGTCTGCTGCTGTTGTTGTTGCTGTTGCTGCTGCCGCTGCTGATGCTGCTGGATGTGCAGATGCATCTGTTGTCGCCGACGCTGCTGCTGTCGTCCCGCACCACGTGCGCCGGCCATGTTGGCCGCGGCCCGCCGCGTCAACAGGTTGGTCATGGCCAAGTCCGGCAATCCGGGCGCCTCGCGCACCGGCCGCAAATCGTTCTGCAGACTGGTCGCTGAGATTTCGGGCTGCCTATGGGCGACAGGATGTCGCAGGGAATTGTAAACGAAACTGTTCATGGGGTTCATGGAAGATAGAGCACAACGGATGGCGGTTAGAAGGCTGGCTGCGAAGTGAAGGCGCCTCGGGGAGTGGGAGTCTTGTTTCGGGTCACGGACAAAACACCGACAGAGGACAGAGGGGAATCGGTTTGGATGGGTTTGGCTGCTAACGCTTGGCGAATGATATTAACCTGGTGTGGTCCACTGTGGGATCGGTTTGTGCGGCCTCTTGACCGTTTAGCATGGCCATTGGGCCATTGGGGAATCCATTGTTGTTGTTCGTCGGTGTGTTGGGTGTTGAGATCGTTGTCGGTGTGCTCGCTGCTGTTGCTGTTGGTGTTGCTTCCAAGCCAGCAGCATTGTTATTGTCCTCTAAACTATTGCGACTGATGGTGTCCTACGTACATACAGGGATTCATTAATGTTGGCCACTAGGCGACTACACAACTACAATGCTAATGCTAAGTGGGGTTAAGCCTAACGAAGATGTGGCACAAAATCTACTGCAGTCTTTGTCTCTCCAACGGAAACTTAATAACTGATATAGTACAACTAGCTTCTTGTCTAGCAACTGGCGATACGCTTAATCGACGTGAAAAATCTTTGCCATTACGAATATGCGTGTCAGGTACAAGTTCCTATCGAGTATATCACAAGTTTGCGCTTTTCGGGATGTGGCTGGAGTCGCATGTGGCTCGGGAGTGGGTGGCTGTAGCTCCTGGTCATGGTCCTGCTCCTCGTCAGCGTCCTCCTCGTTGTCGTGCAGCTCGCCGCAGTGCAGACAATTGGCCTGATTGTTCTGGAGATCCACCACCTCCTCCCCATCCCCATCGCCATTTCCATTCCCAGCCACATCCTCATCCTCGCTGCTCTCCTCGCTGGCCAGCGTCTCCATGTGAGCAGCGTTCCTCGACCTCTGCGGTTTGTGGTTGGTTATTGGGTTAGTCGGTTCGAGTGCGATTGGTGTGTGCGTTGTGTTATGGGTTGGTGTTCGATGTTGGAATTTAAGAGATCATGCACAAAAGTCAAATGCTCATCACACATGCATTATAAATATTTATAAATAATTGATTATACATAGAGTATATTGCAATACGCAACTCTCCCTGGTGGACTAAACCTCCTCAATGAGTTCCGGAACCAGGCATTTTCACTTACCGCCGAGCGTCCTGACTCCGTTTCGTCCACGCTGATGTGGAATCGTCTCTGGAAATCCGAGGCCAACTGGTCAGTGGATTGGCTACTGTTGCTGGTTAAACTGCAAGGAGAATGAAGTGATTAGTGAAAGATAAGTTGCAAGGGTTTATTTGCCCTTATTTGTACCTTTCGATTTCATTTTTTGCAGCACTTGTTTATTATATATTAATATTTTTGGTGGTAACATTAAGGATATTTCTATAGATGTAACATAACAAAATGTCATAAATTTGCAATAATCATTTGCAATTAAATTTTAACAAACACTAATTCTTTTCATTTCTAATGCTGTAACTGTTAAAATTTTTGTAACGAATCCGACAAATTACAGTTGATATAAGCAAGATAAAAAAAAGGTGTGATTCATAAACAAAATCAAGCCGTAGAATACCCTGGTAAATAAGTAAACATTGCTGATTTTCTTTGCTCAAACAAAGTGCCACGAAAAGGGTGAAAGGGAAGGAGAAAGGTGCTCCAGATTTGATCCACAACTTACACTGTAGGCCTCTCCCATTGGGTCGTCCTGGCGGTGTGATTTACATAGTACGTGCGCCCGTTGGCATCCTGGCGCTCCTCCCAGCCAGCGGGCAGGGCATCATGTCCGCCAGTGGGAAAGGAGTGCTGCTGTCGAGGGACAATCCACACGATTATTATTTGCATTTCAAAGGCGGCTGCAGGCGCAGCTACGAAGGCAGGAATACTCACCGGCTGGGCGGAGGTCTCGCCGGCATTCGTGGCCTCCACGTGCTCCCACTCGCCGTCGCTGTTGCCGCTGGACGGCTCGCTCTGCTCCCGCGTCTCCCGGATGAACGCGTGGTAGATGCGCAGGGTGCCCTTGATGCGGGACTTGGCGCTGCTGGTCAGAGGAGGAGGATAAACAGGGGGAACAGGTAAATATTAATGAGCCAGCGAAACAGGTGCACAGACACCACCGCCACCGATGCCAGGGAGCCACCACATGGGAGACACACACAAACGCACACGGGTCAAAAACAATAAGTATTATACGTATACTAAGCGTAACTAAAAATAAACTCAACCCAAATACACGTATGCAGATACAAGTGGGATACTACATATGGACTGCGACGCGCTTAGCAACTTTAAACCCGCTTTCACTTCATCGAAACTCAAGTCGGATGATAAGAACGCCATTTGCCGAAAGCACTCATGGGACTTAATCAAAAAGATTTAATCGAATATTTCCGCTCGACTGGGTGTGAGTCACTTTGTTAATTAAGATGTGAGATTATTCTGCGAAATGTGTTTTAGCTTCTCTATTAAGCGGTTAATTACTAACGATATTTAGTCACGTAAGTCAAACACAAAATAATTCTTAGCCTTATACGACAATTTAGATTCTATTGAAATGAGTGCAAGTATTGAATAGCGAACAAAACAACAAAATATTGACAGTCCGGTGCATTTTCCACCTGAACGAGAGGTAGTTTTCCGATTAAATGGCTCAATAATTTTCTAAAGTACTTTGCATTGTCATGCGGTCTTAAAGTTGTGAACACAAGTGAAAACTCAATGGAAAAGCGATTCTATTATAATCTAATGGTGGGTAAAGTGTTCTACTACGATAACGACAAATACGTTGGCAAAATATAATGGCAATAATGGCAATTCAAGACTGCACTTGGGCGGAAGGGGCGTGGTGATAAACAATAAACAAGGTGAGGTCGAAAAGCAAAACACGTAAACTTTATACTTTATAGCACTACAACGAAATCTAACTACAACGGGTTGAGAACTTAAACGAGATCTTTGCTCCTCCACCAATCTCTATCTGCCTTAAGTTTGGTTTCAGGAGCACGCACTCAATTCATTGCGCTTGTCTTTGAAATGTTTTGGTTTGGTTTGGTTTTTGGTTTTTGGTTTTGATACATAACTAGATATTATGGCTATGTAGTTGTGTGTAAATCAACTGAAATTAAAGGAACAAAATCAAACTGCAAACGATATAAACCTACCCTACTGACCTGCGCGGGCGCAGAGTGTAGCTTTGGTCTCCGATGGTGCGGCCTTCCTGCTCGTTGGGCAGATTCACCAGGGTCAGCTCCACCATGCCCAGGAAGTCGTCGCGTGTCAGGCGATTCTCGTCAAATACTTGAAACACAAGCTTATGCTCAGACGGTTTAACCTGGTCAAACGAGGAGGAAACCAGTTACCAGTTAGCAGGCGGATCATTTCCACAAAGCGCTTCACTTACTCTGAATATGAACTCTTCGTTCCAGACTGGGTTCAGTGTCTGTGGGGAAAGGATTCAAACGAAAACGATGTTACTGTACAATTACGATAATGATCATTTCAAAGTATCCCATAAGGAAGGCGGTTTTAGAAAAAGTTATAAAAGTCCTTAACAATTGGGTATTTCTCTTGGATTTTTACATCCATTAACGATTTTGAAAATTATTCCAAACACATTTTTGATTTTAATAGGTTCTCAGAAGATTTCAAAGCATAGTTAATAATTATTTTTCCCCATTATCCACCTTTATTAAAAATGTAACCAATTTTTGACCAAAATTGAAAACAAAATAAAACGGAATTTAAAAGGCCTATAAACTGTAAATGAAATTATCGCTTTAAAAGCTATTAAATTGTGGTGAAAAGCTAAAAGTAAAATTTTAACGACTTCCGCTACCGATTCCAACTAGTATTACAATTAAAACTAAAATTATCTCAAGAGGTCCTCTGCCTTTCAAAGCTGTGTATGCGGAATAAACATGTCTACGATCGCCAGATATCTAAGCGTTAGTCATAATGCCCACACGATAATGATAAGCTCTGTGTGGTTTACATTTCAAATCGTGCAATCAAGGCCAAGAAGTGTTCCCCCAAGGTACTGTTGCACCTCCCGTTCAGTAGAGCAGTGTGGCAAGTGGAACCAAACATGGTAGATAAGATAAGCTCCCCCAATGTTGCCCATGTCACCCATGTCCAACTAAGACGGGTTAATGCTGCCACGGCTATTGTGCTTACCTTCTTTTTGGTCTTCGTCAAAACAGAGTCAATATTAATATCACCGTTGATTGTGTTCAAATCGATTCTGACATACGGGTCGCTGTGGACGAGAGCATGAATTTTAATTAGCCGCAATATAATTGGCTTAATTAGCAGCTGATTCACTCACCTGGCGCCGAAAATATCCTTTTTGGCCAGCGACAGGCCGCTGAGCACGACAATTCGCAGGTGATACGAGTCGCCAGAGTCGTTCTGAAAAGGGGCGAAAAAAAAATAAGAGAAAACAGGAAAATAAGTAAAAATAGTCGACACAAATGAGACACTTGTGCACGCTTCGTTGGGGAAAAACAGCGGACAGGAATTCAATGCCGCAGCGGAGCAGCCAGCTGGGTCACATCGAAAATAAATAAGCCACGGCAATGGCCATAAGCCTGGCCCACGCGGCGTATACTTAATGTCCGCGATTACGCATACGCCGCGTGTGCCCCCGGTCCGGGTAAAATTTCATGCATTTTACGGTCGACGGTCGACGGACGACGGTCTGTCCGCGCATAAGTTCCTTATAAATGCTTTCTGAAGGATCTGCATTATACATTCGCGTGCATAATTGTTTTTTGGTTCGCGGCTAGATAATTTCCACGACCTTGACACAAGCACCGCTGCTGCTGCTGGTGCACAGAAAGGGAAAAGGGGAAGGGGGCGTGGAAGTTCAAGAGAGTCATCAAGCAATTGTCTAGTGCAGAGAATGCGGCCCAAACTTGAGCTGAATTGCGTGTTGTGATTCACTTCGGGCCTTGGGGCTCTGGGGTCTAGAATTGCGGTTGCGGCCCAGTTTGCAGCTGGCATTTCTCGTTGAAATGCGAAACTCAAATTTAGGCATCTCTCAAAAAAACAATTTTCACATCTTTACGTATTCTGTGGCCAAATTAAGGCGGCTGGAGAGTTCAGAATTAGGTTAATTGAGCAAAAGTTTGACGTTAAACCTCAAAGCTTAGTGGCTTTTCATGTCATAAATTATTGTGCAAGAATATTTTAGGTTTGTATATGAATGGGGAATATAAACGTTGATGGACATATCCTCCCACAAGCTCGATTTTCAATATAGTTGTAGTAATAAATAAATAATCCCTAGAGCTTTGTCTTAAAGGTCAGTACGATAAAACTCTAGAATTTGTACAGAATACTATACTATTGTCATTCTAGAAATTTCAAAGTAAATATAGATTAGTTATTTGTAGATTATTTCAAACAAAACGTTCTCCGTTTCCCTTTCGGAGAGTGCCAATTAAGAAACGCAATTACTGCAGGGTGTTTTGTATTTGCCTGAGAGCTAAGCACATTGCAAAAAGACCAACACCTATAGTCCGTGGCACCCCATTCCGCTGGTGGAGCAGTGGAGCAGAAAAGTTTCTGCATTCCTGAAAGTTAAACAAAACCCATTTTATCTACTCATCTCGGCTGAGAGCCAGCCAGCACTTGTATCCATTAAAAGGCTTTCCCATGAAATATTCAATTTGCCGACATTGTTTATAAAGTGAAGAGCAAACCCAAGTCCCCCGCCGCCCCCTCGGTGGCTGACCAGACGGCGCCATATCTATATCCGACCCCCCTGGATCAGATATCAGCAACTCGCATGTTGCGGCTTGTTGGCCGCCGCATGACCCTGACTGTGTTCTTTTTTTTAGACCCTACATTACATGTGCCATTTTGTACACGCTCGGGAAAACTATTCCATTCTGGTTCTGTTCTGTTCTGTTTTTGTTCCGTTTTTGACGGGTTGTATTTTTATTTGTCCGTTGCCAGCCAGTTCCGCATTTTCCATGAACTTGCGCTATTGATTTTCACCGCGTGGGGCTGGCCCTTTAAAATATCTGCGGCTTTTCCCTCTTGTGCAATAATTAAAAGCACAGAGAACAAAAAAGTAATACCTAATTTAATTAAAAAATTTGGAATGTTCAGTCAAGAAAGAAGCAAAGAGTAATAAATATTAAAAATAAAAAACTTCAAATAGTTCAAACTGAGAAATATTTATTTTGCGTGTGCAAGTAGATACTCCAGCTGTCACTGTATGCTAATAACTTAATTAATGTGACTGGCTACCATCATTAAAGCGCTTATATTGTCGACGATGAGGAGAGCTAAGCTAATGCGCAATATTAAATGCCAGATGCCCCGTTGTTGGGATACGATTATGGCCTGGACAAAAGGTCCAATCAATCAGCCCAAGCGGGTGACCCGGAGTCGAGTAATCCCTCAAGGCCTCTCCAGGATCCTTTCACATGCCTTCAGTTTCCCTCGCAGCTGTCACAGTTCCCCAGTTTGAGTTAAATACCCCGACTGAGCCACGTCGTAGCTGGCATTAAATTGATTTTTAGCCATTAAATCTGGGACCGAGGGAAATTAGCTTAAAACGGTTCTTGCGGTTTAAACTTGTTTGGCACTAAACAGACAGGGGGCGTGGCAAGGGGGAGGGGAAAGCGTTAATTAAAAGGGATGTCCGACGCAGTGATCCATCTTCACCTAATGAAATGCCATTTTGGAACTGAATCAATTTTTTAGTATTTTTGCAAAAAGAAACAGAAATCCGTTTTATGAATGCCTTTTGACGGTTATAAAAAATAATACTTGCTAAGCAACTAAGATTTAACAGGTAAAAATATTAGTTCCAATTATTTTCAAACTTAAATCATTTACCTAAACATTTAAATTATAAGTGACCCCTTGCCCTGATAACAGCTTATAACAGAATTGTTCTTTATTTCTTTGGAATTCGACTTTAGCTCGTTCGCCTATCGCACATTTTTGGTGTCCAATTTGTTAACACGAATCCCACTGATACGATTCCGATTTTCTCGGCTACTGGAAAGCTAAAGTCGTAGCAAAATTCGGTTATCAGTTGGCCCAGCACCAAGAGCTCATTATCGGAAATGGCAAGGTGTTGACTTGTGCCATTCGGATGACCATGTGACATACAAACAGCTTGGCGCCCTTCCTCAGTTTTCTTGCCCTCAGTACAACGAGCACTTTTCCTCCTCAAACCATTTCACATTGGCCACAAGTTTCCTCCATTTTTATTTCCGTGCCAAGTGAATGAATAATGAATTATAAAAATATATATGTGAGTAGTCATCCAGCTGTGCGCTGATAAGCCAAAGTGAGAGAGAGAGTAAACATTGGCAGCCGAATAAGTCAAGGCGCTCGACGGAAGACCATTTTGTTGCTCTTAACGTTTTGTCTGCTGTTCAAACAGACGGCTTAAACGAAATGCTGATGGGAGATAATAAATACCAGTCAACAACGAAATTGAATCAACTTGAATATCAATTGTTATTTTAATGCGCACAAAAAGCTACAGAAAAATCATACCATCCAAAAAAGAGCTTGGCCTAAAGCTTACCCGTTGCCATTAACCTAATTGATTGGTGGATGCCCCTCACTTGTCACTACTTTTTAGAGGTCAATGCAATTTCATTACTCAAATTGACAATCTACCATCCATCTGGGTTAGTCAATAAATATCTCAACAGTTTTCGAAATAAGTACTTCAAAAATAGGGGAGGAGAGAAGCCATAACACATCTGCCTGATGAATTAATTTTAAACAAAAACCAGAAAAACTGAATGCATGAGGGGCACAAAGAAATTAGACAATTAATAAGGAAAACCTATCTGTCTAATATATTCAGAGCTATAAATAACTTGTTCAACTGCGACGATGATATATAGTATGTCTATGACGTTTATAATTGCAGGCACAAGCCTCTGTTATCGGAAAGATAAATTATTTTTCGATTCGCATTAGGTGCTTTTTAGTTTTATTGGTTCCGAGAATTGCAATTCCTAAAAAGAAAAAAGGTTATCTATTTTAAGGTCCAAATCACATCCACGCAAACGGTGTGTACTTTTAAAAATAAATTATTATTACTTGAAATACAGGTTTCTAAAAACCCTATTAAAATCTTAGCATTTCACATTGTAAGTCATTTATAGAAACAAAAAAAGTCTGAAAAGATTAGTAGTCAGTGCGACCCAGACTCAATCAAAAAATTTTATATGAAATGTTTAAAACCTCATTAAAAAAATTAGATTAATTTGTTTAAAAAAAAAAATGGTTAAGCCCACTTTTGGTTTAAGAACTAAATTTTCGATTGCCGTAAAAAGTAGAGAGTACTTCAAGGCCAAAGAAACTGTTTCGATGCAGGTGTAAGGAAGGTCTAAATCTGATGGGAGTGGAATGTGAAAACAGGCCCCAAAAATTTGCATTTCCCGTTTCGTCGATCACATCTGATATTTCTCAATGTTTATCCGTAAAATATCAATAACCCGAAGGCCTTGGGCCGAAAAATCTCGAGAGATATAGGAATGTGGAAAGGAGGCTTGGGTGGGATGAGCAGGGCGGCGCGTGAGGCACATCAAAGGCGGCTCAATTAGCGGCTAAAGAAAATGAGCACACTCACACAGAGGCTCGAACATTTGCATATGTACCATTTTCACGGACTGGTGAGAGAATGGAAAAGAGAGGCGCTCCTCTCGCCAGTTACTTACATCACTGTTATTGTAGCCATGGATTTGGCCATCTTCGCTCGTCACCGATGGCGATGCGGTTGTTGACTCGGCCATTTTTATTCTGATGTAGATTTAGATTTCGATTCCAACTCGGGCTTTATTCAATGCCGATTCTCGTCTTCCTCTGTTTACGTTTTGTGTTTGTGTTAATTTTCGTGCACTCCTCTCAAACTAAATTGAACAATAAACTGTGGGGGTTATGAAAAGAAATAAAAACACCAACGAAATATTCGCAGTTTTTGGCGGTTTTAACTGCACAAAACAAGTTGATCAGAGGGAATTTTCAATTCTAGCAATTTATTTTCACTTTTTTGCACACACAAGATTTATTTCGGTATCTCGGACGAACTTTTGGGTTTTGCTTTTTGTTTAGCTGCAAGCTGAAGACGGCGACAAAAAACAAAAACAGAACAGGTTTCACAACAATTTACGTTTTGTTTTTATTTCTCTTATTGCGTATACGTAATGTCGGTTAGGGCCAAAAGAGGCAGGGCAGAATCAGGCTCCACATTCCCAGTCGCCAAACACATTTTTTGGCATGCATGACTAATAGGGGCGTACGAAAAAGTGGAAAGAAATTAGATTTCTCATTTCGATGTCAAGATTTCTTTTTTTTTTGGCCAGCACAAATTGTTGCCTTACGTTTATTCACTTTTTATTTTATATAATTAACACGTTTCAGGGGTATTGTGCTATAAATTTATCTATATAATCCACTCGTGAGTGTGTGGCTGTGCCCCCTATATTTATAATTCAATTATTCACTTATTTATCTTTTATTAACGGCCCTAAGCGATGGAAACAATAACAACAACAACAAACGGCACCAACACTATTGCGAAAACATGTTCTGCGTAAATGTCTGCCTCTCTCGCTCGCTCCCGCAGCGAGGTGTTGTGCGGTTGTGAGTGCGAGCGGAACAGCAACAGCAACACTTTTCAGCAGCCGCTGCACGAACCACGGAACTTCGCGCTTTCGCGTTCTAAGATAAAATGAATGCAGCTCCCCAAGCAGTGTGGCCAGAACGTGAGCTGCCCCAATGCAGAGCTTTGATTTCGGCTAGTGTGACCAAAAATTTGGAAAAAAAAAACATAAAACGGCTAAACTCCACTAGCACATTATAGTAATAATGTTATAGATTTCAACCATCATTGCCATTAGAAATTTTTTTCACATCACAAAACCGCTTTCAATACTCTTTTCTGTGCTTAAATGTAAAAGTTGGAAAAAAATGTAAATGTAAGTCAAGTTAGCAGTTAAATAAATTATAAATTACTCAAATATAAATACCCTAAGCATTTAAACAATTGATCTTATTTTAGTAGGTATAGAAAAAAAAAATTTATTTAACATCATTAAAAATTCAAACTATGTATTTAGAATTTTTCTTTTCTTTTTTTTAAAATACTCAATTTTGAAAAATACCAAAAAATAATCTGGCACGCCCTTTCCAACACTTAGCGAGAAGCTTTCAATTGCTGGGCAAAAGCTTTTCAAAATAGTAGCTCGGCCCCATCCTACTCTTTTGCTGTCTCCCTCTCCTGCTGACAGCTGCCAGCGAACAAGTGTCCAAAACCAAAACAAAACAATAACAGCTGATGGGCTGCAAAGTAAGTTGGTGTGAGTACAAGTATCTGCGTGTGCGTCAATATCTGCAGTTGGTTTCTGTGAGATTAATAAAAATTAGGAATCCCCCAATTCCCATACATTTTTCGGTTAAGTAGGACAGTCATCAATTATTGTTGACATTTGACTGCTGCCGGCGCTGCTGACGCAATGGATCAAAATGAAATTAACCGGCTGTAATTGGCCGACTGTTGACTGATAACCGGGCCATTAAGGAAACTCGTTGAACAACCGGTGACGTTGAGCGTTTCGACAGGTGTGTCTATTGGGCGACGTCACCACTCATCGACTGACGTGCGAATTGGATTAAATAACCCAAATAACGGAGCCCAATTAGCGGGAGCATCCCAACTTTGCCCGTCACAGTGGCATTAATGAAGATAAACCAGTTAGACAACTCCCCTCCTTATTTGGCCAGAAGTGTTAATTTGTTTTAAATGATTATAATTTAGTATAAGGAGATCTAGCCATTCTGTCTTAATTTTCTCTGTGTAACAAAGACCCAGACAGTTTACGCACACTTAGTATATTCAAAAGGCGGCGGCCAAGAACCGTGTTGATAAATTCAATTAGGTCCGAAGATGCCGATGACTGCTCAAGTGGCTCGCATCTTTTGGCGAATTGAGATAAATAAATTAGATCCGTTCGGCCTGAGATGCCGAGCGAATTATTTGTTTACACAAGTGAGCAAAACAATAGAAGCACATTCCAGACACTAAATAAACAACACTTAAGGCCGATTTATTTGCTGGCGGCTGCTTATCGAGCGCTTTTACGCAAGTGAAAAGTGCAAGTGAAAAGATACTCTCAGAAGTTTATAAAATTCTTCATACTTTCTGGAATAATACAATTTTGGCAAGAGATATATATTTATCAACCGTTACCTACTTAAGCCATTTAACTTATAATTTTGTGTACTTTTGCGAGATTTAAGAGCGAAACATTCACCAGTTTTCTACAAGTCGCTGCGAATTTTGATATAACGCCAATAACTACACGACGTAGTTAAAGTACTTTAGTTACTAATTCTTTGGAGAAAAGTTGGACACAAGCTTTCAGGTTCGTTGAGGTGCCACTTTAGCCGTATTAGGCTGGAGTTAAAGAAAAATCAAATTTGAGGATTGCAAATAGAAACCTTAAGGTTTCCGCCATCCTAAGAAATTTGGGCTTCCCTGGCTTTTCCATATATACCCATTTTATCACCAGGGCCCATCTACACGACTCAGCTGTTTGGCAAGCTGCAGATAAGATTACCAGTAAAAACATCGTAAAAATAGAAACACGAAATAAAGCGGGGAAACAGATAAGGCAAACCAAATCCCCCACAGCACTTGCTTGATGAATACCTATTAAATTTGTCACACAGAAAATAATTTTAGATCCCATGTTGTGGTTTATAAAAAATTTAATTAGAGAACTTTGAATTGGCATCCAAAAAAACTTCGGTGATCTGAAGCAGCTCTGATAAGGCTACATATAAGGAAGATTAAATGAATTTGTATAAGATAAAATATTATGCTTTCTCTAAAATTTAAAGTTTCTAAAAGACATTTCCCCGCAATTCAAAAAATAATACATGGCCCCATCGGAAGTAACCAAAGATGGTTCCTAAAATTTTTCTGTTTAATTATCTAATTAAGTCTGTTCATTTTTTTTCACAAGTGAATACTGAATTGATTGAATATTTAACCCAACAATCTAAATACAAAAACGTGTTCATGTATGTACATACCTATTCTTTAAGATTAAAACATTCTATGAAGCTAAACCATATTTAAATTCACTGTTATCACAACAATCTTTTGAGATTGTAAGGTGCAAGGTGTCAAGAATAACAACCATTCCAACCAGTTAACTCCATTACTGATCTGATTAAATGGCGTTTCTCGTTAAGAGTGAACCATATTTCGGGTCACCTTTGCAAACTTACCACTGCTGCCAACGATCGACGTGGCGTGTGTCCGTTGCCGTATTCCAGCCGTGTTTGCTGTTGTCCTGCAACAGAAGCTGCCCGCCTGCGAGGCGGTGGGCGTGGTACATCGCCACCGGCCGCCGAGGAAGAAGATGAAGCGGGTAGAGCTGCAGCGGCCACCATGCCGCTGGAACGTGCCGACATTGTTTGATGTTTTTTTTTAGAAGCTTCTGCAATAAGAGAAAGGGGTGGAGAAGTGGTTAGTGCATGTGTGTGAGGCGGAAGTGCAAATTAAGCGAGAAAAGGCACGAGTGGAGAAGAACAAGAGGAAGAGGAGGCTGTGACAGGGTGACAAGAGGGAGAAGGGGATAAGGAGAAGACAAGAAAAGCGAGCAGACAACAAAGACGGCAAACAAAGTGCACAACGGTACTTGTGCTAGATGCCATCTCTGTCTACCGCCCGCCCTGCTCCCGTTTGTTTGTGTTAGTGTGTGCGGTCACTGTGTGAAAGAGAGTGTGGGTGAGAGAGCACAAAAGCCAAACATTTTCCTTAATAATTAGCCAAGCGCGAAGGGTTCAACGCCATGTCTTTTTACACCGTTTATGGTAAGCATAAAGGTTCGCCCAAGTTTTCCACTTACGTTCACACACACGCACGGGGCGCTATAATTTCGGCCAATTTATGTATATATTTTGCACTGGTATGCGTGTGGGTTTGCCTTTATCTACTATTTGCGGAAAATCATCACGTACTTTTCACACACTGAACTATGCACTTCACTATTTTATTAAATATTGATCACTTTAACCGCTGCAGCGGCTTGATCGCCGATATCGGTCGGCTACTGCAGAATATAAATATATATTGCTCGAGAAATCCAAAACAATTTAAACACCGGACAGGAAACACATAAAAAACGGCGACAAAATCAAGAACAAAACTGCCAGAGTGACCGTGTACGAACACCTTAAAATTACCGTACCACCTAAAAGCCTTTACAGTTAACTAAAATACTTTTTGATGTTTGTAAAACAAATCAGACCAAGTAATTGAACTATTTTATTTAAAAGTAAATGGCGTTGTATAAAATATTTTCGCTTAAGTCATGTTTTCTTTCCGTAACATTTTTAAACGTAACCTGCCACGCAGCGGATTTGGTATTTGTTGCACATTTCCCACCACAGATGAACGGCCACACGCAAGCAGTGAAAATCCCAATGAAACGAGAAATCTAATAAGTTTTACCCTCAAAGTGTTGCAATTTTTGGTGCATTTAGCGATTTAAAGTGAAAGAATTTAAACCCCCATCCGCAGAGCCAAAAAAACACATAAATACCTGCCATTTAGCCATCAAAACAATTGAAAGTCAACGGCTGTGCAGCAGCAGGAAGAAGAGGAAGAGAGGTGCGTGGTGCGTAGTTAGTGCGAAATTGCGTATTAGGAAAGAAAACAACAACAACATAAGCGGAGCCGCAAAAGCCAGCCAACATTTCGAACAAACCAAACATTAGCCAGCGAAAACAAACACACCAATCCAACACATTGTCGCATCTGCAGCGGGAACGCCAAAAACTGGTTACATGGGTCCGACGGATCAAGACTGGATCGGCTGTGCGGTGTCCATAGCCTGTGACGAGGTCCTGGGCGTGTTCCAGGGCCTGATCAAGCAGATCTCCGCCGAAGAGATTACCATCGTAAGGGCCTTCCGGAATGGAGTACCGCTGCGCAAGCAGAACGCCGAGGTGGTCCTCAAGTGCACGGACATTCGAAGCATTAATCTCATCGAGCCCGTGAAGCAGGATCTGGATGGGCATACGGCCCCGCACCCGGTGATCAACAAGCCCACGCCTGTCAAGTTACCCCACTTCTCCAACATCCTTGGAAAGCAGCAACAGCTGCAGCTTCAGCAGCAGCAACAACAGAGGCAGCAGTTTCGGGAACAGGATCATGAGCAGGAGCTGCCATCGACGCCGCGGTCGAAGACCAACGGATACGCAAGAGGACCGACAGGAGCGGCACCGTCGGATGCGTCCGCTGCATCGGGTTCTTCGGGCTCACGTGGGAACTTCAATTCGGCACTAAGCGACAAGATGCACCAGCTGAAGCTAATCGAGACCAACGGACCCAATGGCACTCGGAGGTATTGCTCTTTAAACCTTTAAGTTATATAGGCAGACTTATTAAAATACACTGTGGATCATTTTCATGAGCCATATTTAATATTTAATTTTTCGGCTGTCTAACCTTCGTTTTGGAACCAAATTGAACCAAATCGATTGACCTATTCGGCTATTCCCGAAGTTATATGGCATTGTTTAAAATAGGCAAATTATCCTCTCTCTTATTCTTTATTATAACCTTTATCTTTGTTTTGCAAACCAGAACACCGCAGACATCTCGAGCCTCCAGTGCTCAGCAGCAGCCGCAAATGTCTACAACTCCAAACAGTGTCGCCGCTTTCTTTGGCAATATGATTCCGCCGAAGGTGGAGGTGAAAATGGGTGCCTACGTAGCAAACACGCGGGAGAGCTACTGCAGCAGCAGCGGGGACAGCGGCGAGGCAGCCGGGCTGTCGTTGGGCAGCAGCCGGCCCATAGATATCGTCAGTAACGGAGACGGCTTTTATAAGCAGGCGGCAGCTTCAAGCTATGGAAATACTAACGGCAATGGCAGAAGGAACGGCAACTCTTACAATGGCAATGGAAACGGAAACGGCTCTTATACCAATGGAAATGGCAACGGTAACGGGAAAAACAAGCGTAATAGGGTTCGAAGGGAGAGTAGCATGAGGCAGCAGCAGGTGCAGCAGACATTTGGCGGCGAGGCGGATGATCCACTGATCCATGAGGACTTTGACTTTGAGGGCAATCTGGCGCTTTTTAACAAGCAGGCCATTTGGGATGACATCGAGTCGACGCACCAGAAACCAGACGTGGTTCGGCACATCGTTAACCATCATCATCAGCCGGAGCAAAAGTACCGGCACGACGAGAATATCCTGGCCAGCAAGCCGCTGCAGCTGCGCCAGATCGAGAGCATGTTCGATGGCAGCCAGGATTTTGTGACGGACGACGGTCTGATCATTCCCACTATTCCGGCCTACGTTCGGAACAAGATCGAGATGAGTGCCGAAAAAGCGGGCCTCTCCTTGCAGAGGCAGATCGACATATTGGCGCGCGGGGCCAGTGACCTGGCCATAACACTGCTCGGCGGAGCCAGACGTCTGACGCCGGCCAACAACCACCAGTGGCCGAAGATAGCCATCATCTGCGATGGTGTCAAGAACATGAGGTAAGATTGCTGGGCTTGTGGCATTCCGACCGAATATGACCGAAATACTTGCAGAACAATCAACATCGGAGCAGCCACGGGTCGCCAGCTTGCTTCGCATGGCCTGACCGTGCTGCTGTACGTGGAGCAGGCTAAACTTATGGAGCAGAACAGCAGCAGTACAGAGATTTCCCTGTTCAAGGCAACTGGCAATGTCATAGTTCACTCAGTAGATGGTAAGTAAATTATCCGCCGAACAGCCACTTAAACAAACTAATTAACGACTCTTTTTTTGTGTGTTTCCTATAGCCTTGCCCACGCCAGATCTTGTGATATTATCGACTAACACCGCTAATTTATCGGATGCGATCAGGAAATGGCTTAGTGTAAATCGGTAAGAAGAAAAAGTTTTAACACTTTTGAAGCACCTAAACATTCTCTACCTTCTTAGCGCGTCTGTGCTCGCCGTAGATCCGCCGCCATGTGGCATTAATGAGGTGGCTATCAAGTACTCAATACTACCCATACTACCATTGAATGGCATATCAACAGCAACAGCATCATCATCCTCTTCGGCTGCCGCCACACCGACGCCCATTGCTAGCACTTCGGCAGCAGCAGCGGCCACTAAATCAGCAGCAGCAACATCAACGAACAATTGTGGCAAATTGTATTTATGTAATCTAGGTATACCGGATAAATTTTATCGTGATTGTGGCATTAAGTACAAAAGTCCGTACGGACATAAATATGTGATACCGATTCACTCAAAGGACTGAAACAACGACAAAAACAAAATCACAAACACCAACATTTACAACAGAAATCAAACTGCAGCATCAGCAATAACAGCAAACCATTAAATCAAGCACACACAACAAAATCAATAACAATGACACTGACACACCCGCACACTTGTGATGATCATCAAGTCCAGTTTCCTGTGAATCTAGCTCTTAGTAGTCTTTTCTCATATATTACTCAAATTAAACATTTTGTTCTACGGCGCGTACACATTTAGTTTTTAGGTTAGTTTATGCATCAGCCTCTAAAGTATATCAAGTAATTGTAACTATTTTTCTGAATGATTTAAAAGCTGCCCCGGCCAAGTGCCAAACTATAATTAAATTTCAACTTTAGAATATTTCTTCATTTTAAAACTCATGTAATTTTTGTACAGCCCTTAGTTCCGAAAGCTAGTCCAGCATTTACAAGTTCCAAAAGCTTTAGTTTAGGCGCACACTTAAAGAAAATTTTCAAACTTTTAATCCAAAACCTCGGAACCCTGTCAGAACATTTAAACAGAAGCTATGGCCTTAATTTGATTTTTATTCCCTGTCCTTCCCGCAAGTGGTCTTCATATACGTAATCAACAAATCAGGCGATAAATTGTTTGTAAATAACTTTACAATTATATGGGGAAAGATAAGATCATGTTAATTATTATCAAGTATGCGCAATAAATGCCAAATTCAATGTCTAATTTTAAGCATAAAATCAACAGCAAAAGCAAACACTATTGTACGATGTAATATGGAATACAAGTCCAAGTATAAATCAAATCAGATAGTTAAGGTATATTTCTAAGCAACAAGTGTTTTACGTTTAACAAACCATAACAAACAACACAACACTGATAAAACGAGGAACACTTTATATTATATATAGACGTATTTAAGATGTGTCTTTAAGCTAAACTAAATCAAGTCGAGAGCATAATTTTTTACCCATCGAATACTAAAGAGAAACCACAACACAATACTTATACTCTAAACTGTAGAACGATGAATTTTATATAAGATTAAATCCAATCTAATAGTGCAAAATTTTAGACGGTTGCGACTCAGCAAGGCAACCAAAAACTCAAAACCCAAATTAAAAGTACTTGTTGTATAAATAATACCTATTATTGTAAAGATAACACACGTAGATTCTAAATTCCAATCATGTTGATGATCATCTGCAAATTCAATTTCCAAAAACCATCAAACTATATTGTAAAAGAGAGTTGAATGCGGAACACTTCGCCGTCAGGCGGGTTCTGCAGTGACTGTTTTGCGTTAGGAGTAGAAGAGATAACCAGACCTCAAAGGGATGTTGGTGGAGAGCGGATGAGAAGGTTTTCCCAATACCACAGTAACAACTACAGATTTCACAACCAAACGATTAAGCACTAACACATGGAGAAACCACATATATCCAGATTTTGGTAACGCTTTTAAATTGTAAAAACAACTATTTTCGGGCCAATTGAAATTGTTAAACAAAAAAGAATGAAACCTAATTTTAAATTTATACACAAAAGACAAAATTGTACAGAAAAATTCTCTTTTGGAACAAAAAATCAAGCAGAAAAAAGAAAGCGAATCAAAAAATGAATGTCCTTTCCAAACGAAACAGCAATATTAAAAAATACAAACAACACCGAGAAGCCTTCTCATGGAAGAAAACAAAATTTACAATTAGTTTTTATTTTTGGTATTAAAGGTGCCTTGGGTTCGGTTTTACCTATAAATGCGGTCATTTTTAGATTATCTTTTTGCGAGGGTGCGCCAAAAGCTCTGACCTAAATAGACTCCTATAGGAACCTCAGACCAGAACGCTCCGGTGGGTTGGATCCCATCCCAGGCGCCAAACTTGTGTCAGTGAACTAAAATTCTTTTAGCAGGCGACCCGCGTAGTCTTTTCAACCCAAACCGACGCAAAAAGGATTTACGCAACTTTTAAATAAAGGAAATATGCACACTGTTGCTCCAATTGAGAAATTTTGTACGAAGTTCAATACACCTCCAATAGAGGGCGGATTAATCTGTATTCTGTTGGGATATAAGGTGCTATTAACATAATCCTTCGGATGATGTCGAGCTCCATTACTGTTTTAAATTTATCCAAATATTTCATCAACATAAATTATTCTCTACTTTTTTAATGGTTCTAATAAAAAGGTATTTGATTTAAAGAATTGCGCTTCATCCGACTTTTTGCAATTCAAATCCAACCTGGCACTTTGGGTTTAGTCAGCTCTTACGGTCTTGCCTGTCGTTTGCTTGGGACTTGCTTTTGTTCTTGCCAGCAGGCTTCGCTTAAAATTATTTAGTCAAAACAAATCACTTTTCTTTGAAAGATTTTTTAAAATAATTATTACAAAACCGCGAAACGGAGCCATAACTATATATAATGGGATCTCCAGAATTCCAGATTTCATTATTAGATAGCCATTTATTACCCACACCAATAAAGTTAACTTAACAGGTGTGGTCTGTTATAATTCAAGTGCAATTTTATTACATTCCGCTTAGATCAATAAAGATTAGTTTTAATTTAGAGCTTAATTGAGTGTGTTGTGTTTGTTATATAACTTAAAAGTGTGTAGAACAGTGTGTCGACTTAGGAGTAGATAAAAACAATAGATATTGTTAGATACATATATAGGTAGATATAAAATCAGTTGGATTTTTCGATCGATTCTTACCCACTGTTAGGGCCAAACACAAACAACTCTTTACACTGCTCTCATACTCCCACTATAAATCCTCGGCTGCCGAAAGAAACGAACCAAGAACGGGACTGCAGCCGTCTTTGATGATTAAATTTAGTATTTGCTTGATTTTAATCAGAGATAAGTGGCCCGAATACTCACATATAGGCTTGTACTGTACTGATCTGAGCCCCCGCGGCAGCATCGATTCTGTATTCTGTGGCTTAAACACCATTTGGCGAGATAAACAGAGATTTAGTTAGCAACGGATTTCGTTTGCCTCTAAACAGCTACGGATTAATATTTTTATTTGGTTTTTGGAGGTGTATTTTTAGTTATTGGTTTTCGAGAGAAAGAGAGAGAGAGAGGAGGAGGAATACGTACGTTGGGATCTGGACCGCCGAGAACCCTACAAAGCCTGGTCTGCTCACGGTGAATTATCAAAGTCGTTATATGCATACGTACCACAGAACCGTGATCTTCTAACATTAATACGTACCCAGAAACGAGTATATAAGGGACACTCTCCGAGGACGATTCGAAAGGAAACGTCGAGCGGAATGGATACGTACCCAAGCTATAATAACTGGATTATCTATGTTATACGCATACATATCTGCCAAAACAACTAACATTGGTGTGGTATAAAGGATATAGTCACCTCGCCATACTCAATACGTACCGAAGATGTGCGAGAGCGTTAAGCGGCTGCGAAAGTGTCGAACTTCAAGTAGAGAACGCTTTAGGGTTACAAATCAAATCAAATCATATCAAATCAAATCAAAACAAATCAGATCAGAGCAGTGATAGAGTGTCAGAGTTAATATCGTGGAGGCTTACCCCAAACCGGGACGACAGCGATGCACAACACACGTTGACTTCGCCTGGGAGAACGTGATCGCTAGCTGAGAAGAGTCATGGTTGGGTTTTGTTGGGTTTCAGTCAGTGTTACCAACATGCAGCTAGCTATACAACAGACAACACAAAATATCAAATGTTAATGGTTCTCTGCGCGTCTCGATAATTTAGATTTCTTTAGCTTAACAGTCGCTGTGTCCTAACCGAATTACTATGAACTGAACTACAATTGGCAACACTGCGGGTTCGTTGGGTTGACTACTCTCAATTGGGTATCTCTACGTGCCAAATACTCTGGACTGGACGGGGGACTATTCAATTTCAATCGTATCATATCGAGTATATCGTATCTCTTACAAGTTTTTCTTGGGTTTGGGTTTCAGAGTTGGGCTGGATTTGGGGTGGCAACAGCGTATATTTTTTTTTGGCTTTATTCGGTCTTCAGAGGTTGGAACGCAGGATAAAAAATAGAAATTATTTAAAATGTACAAATGTTGTTATCTCTGCACAGTGGAGCGTCGAGTGTGTGGCTCTAGGTCGCTTTATTGATTAGTCTATGAATATTCGGTTGCTGTTGTTTTCAGTAGTTCAATTTGTGGTGGCTCTGTAGTTGTAGTTGATGTGATTAATGCTACGTACGTGCGCTGGGCGGGATTCCTAGCGGCGGGAGTAGCGCTCTCGGGAGTAGGAACGTCGGCGCTGGCCGTTTCCCCCGCCACCGCCGCCATCGCGGAAGTGGTTGAAGTTGCGGCGTTCGCGTGGCGAGCGTTCCCGGGAGCGTGATCGGCGTCTCTCGTCGCGATGATGGCCGCCGCCTCCTCCTCCACCACCACCTCTGTCGCCGAAGCGTCCTCTGTCGTTGCGCCCATGGCGGTCCCGATCGCGCCTGCCATCCCGCTCCCGTTCGCGATGATCCCGGCCATGGTTGTCCCTGTCATCGCGTCGTCCTCCACGTTCTCCGGCTCGATCAGCACGTTCAGCCCCGTCCGCCGCATCCTTGGGCCGCTCGCCGCCCTTATCCTCCGGCCCGCGACCGTTGTTGGGTCGCTCGCGCTCCGCCTCCCGGTTCCGCTGGCGTTCCCTCGAGCGGGAGCGATGCACGCGGGAGCGACGGTCCAGTTCGCGGCCACCTACAAAGTAGCGATTGCGGCCGCGGCCCTCGTCGTCGCGGTCCGTCATCTTACCCGTCCGCTTGAGCTCCGCCTTGCGCGGCGCCGCCGTCTTCTCCAGCTCGATCAGCTTTTCGCGGATGGTGAGGAAGCCAAGGTGCAACTTACCACCAAAGTGGTCCGCCAGCCGGATGTCGTTGTCGTGGATGCCCAGGTAAGCGGAGCAGACTTCGCAGACGCGCAGCTTCTGCTGCTGGTACGTTGATGCGGGCATAGATGTGCGGTACTCGTGCTCGGCCTTGATCTTCTTGCCGCGCAGCTCGTCGATTTCCTTCATCAGTTCCATGCTGTCCTCGACCTCGCCAGCCTCGCCGAGGGCCTCAGCCTTGGCCAGCTTTTTGCCAATCTCCTCGGCCAGGCCGTGGACGGCGTTGGCCTTTTCGGCCACCTCGGCGGTCAACTCCTCCTGCGTCTCCTTCAGGCGCTGCTTCGCGGAGTCCGTCCGCCGGTCACAGTCGGCGATAAAGGCCTGCAGGTGCTCCATGGCCTCGATGTCGTAGTAGTAGTCGCGCGTCTTGGCGGCACTCTCGTAATCTGCGCGGAAAGCCAGGTCATGCACTTTGGGACACTCACCGAGATCCATGCGCGTGGACGCCAGGATGTCGTGCGGACAGCAGTCGAGCAGAAAAGACTTGCAGACCCTGGTGTCCGAGAACTTCAGCTGGCGCTCGTCGCCATTCCGAGTCGTGCCCATTAGCTGGTCCAACATTGCTCGCATCTGATCGGTGGCCGACATTTTGTTGCTCGGCGCGCTCATTTCCTTCTGGCCGGGAGCGTGTGGAAAACTGCTGCTGCGACGTTGCAGTGACAGCTATTTCGCAGGCTATGTGACCGCTAGCGTGCAATGCGTTTGGAAATTCTCAGTTTTCGCTCCGTTTTTTACCACCTAAGAAAATTCGTGTGAGAGTGTGCGTGCGGATGGTGCTAAAATGGGGTAGTGCTGCAAAACAGTGTTGCAAAGCGCTAGCAGGTCGATGTATCGGTGAATGGGAACGGTTTCCAACAGTTATCATGTCTTTTGTGGAATTTTAATCTCAACAAAGCAAAAAATGTTATTTAAAATTTATAAAAATTAAATAATTTACGGTTACTTTTTTGATTGTTTTCGGTTAAGGTGCATAAATTATGCACAAATATATCTATGCCACCTTTAAAGTGATACGATTTCTTTTTTCATGGTAAATTTTATGAAATTATTATTATGAAAATAATTAACATAAAATATTATATTTTTTTTTTACTTTCAATAATCTATTATTTTTTTTAAAAGTTAATTTTTTTCCTGATTTTTTTTTTTTGGCTGTTTCAGAGGTATCCTCGCGTAACAAGTTCCATACGTAGTCGCCCAGAGTATAGAGCTGGGAGAAAAAAATTTTAAAGCATTGTGATAAAAGCCTAACGGTATATTTGCTTAATACATTTTAATTAATAGATATTGAACTTGCATTAACGCTTATAACGGTGAAAAAATATTTTCCCAATATGTGATTATATGGCTGTGAAATATGCAAAAACACGCGTTTTTGGGACATTTGAGTGTGCGTAAAAGCTGATTGGCTATTGATATTAACAAATCCATAAACTTATATTCTTATTTTGATAAGTAGAAGTGAAAAATAAAAAAAAATCAACTTAAACATATTTTTGTCGCACAGTTCTATCGGTTGAGGCGCCCCATTTTGTGCTAAATATCGATGGGCATGAGGTGGCATCGCTGATCCACCCCCTCGGCGTTTTCCAACACTAGGCAGCAAAACGTTTTCATTGAGCGATATTTTTTTGTTGTTTCCTTCGTTTTTTTCGGCGAAATTTTGTTTTAAAATTAATTCCTTACTGCTCTAGTTGGTTGGCGCCTACGATGTCCGATGACGACGATATACAGTACATCAAGCGGCAGCGCACACTGCACTACGGATCGCTTGAGGAATCGGAGCGAAAGCGTCTCAATGCCGCGGCGTCTGGGGCAACAACAACAACGGCGCCGGCAGCGTCTGGAGCAACAACAACAGCAACAACCGGCACGGGCGGGCAACTGGAGGATATAGATTCCGATGAGGACTACGAGGAGTCCACCAAAAAAACAAGCAACTCCAAACAGGCAGGAGCCCCACCCCCCACTGCTGCTACATTGGCAAACAAAATCGACGATGACTACTTTGATTTGGAGACGGAAATGGAGAGGGACAAGGTGGCCCTGCTGGAGGAATTCGAGCGGAAGAAGCGGGCTCGCCAGATAAATGTCTCCACCGACGACACGGAAATTAAGAGCAATCTTCGCCAGCTGAACGAACCGATTTGCTACTTTGGCGAAGGACCAGCGGAGCGGCGAAGGCGCCTCAAGGAACTGCTAGCCGGCCTGGGCGAGCATGCTATAAACAGGAAGCATTATGAAGAGGAGGAGCGCAAGCAGCAGCAACGGGAACAGGATCAGGCTACCTGGTATCACGAGGGACCCGACACCCTGCGCATCGCTCGGCTTTGGCTGGCAGATTACTCCTTGCCGCGGGCGAAGGGTCGCTTGGTGAGAGCCCGAGAGGCCCTCGAAGTGCCAAGTGCCACGCGAGCCGGTCGCATGGTGGAGATGCAAAAAAAACTACAATCGTTGGCTCCACTCTGCTCCCAGGTGGGCGACACGCGGCCCGTGAGCAGTGCCGCCTTTAGCGAGGACTCCACACTCCTTCTGACATCCTCGTGGTCGGGTCTCTGCAAGCTGTGGAGCGTGCCCAATTGCGAGCTGAAGCAGACGCTGCGCGGCCATGCCAGCTATGTGGGTGGAGTTGCTCTCCGGCCGGGAGTGAAAGCGGATGAGGAGAACGTGGTGGCCATGGCTTCGGGCGGCCACGATGGCGCCGTCAAGCTCTGGGGCTTTAATAACGAGGAGTCTATTGCTGACATTACCGGCCACATGCCGCACCGCGTATCCAAGGTGGCCTTCCATCCGTCCGGCCGTTTTCTGGCCACCGCCTGCTACGACTCCAGCTGGAGGCTGTGGGATCTGGAACAGAAGACCGAGGTGCTCCACCAAGAGGGACACGCCAAGCCGGTGCACTGCCTCAGCTATCACTCGGATGGGAGTGTCCTGGTCACCGGAGGACTGGATGCCTTCGGGCGGGTGTGGGATTTGCGCACCGGTCGGTGCATCATGTTCTTGGAGGGCCACCTGGGCGCCGTTTTCGGCGTGGACTTCTCACCGAACGGCTTCCACATAGCAACGGGTTCCCAGGACAATACCTGCAAGATCTGGGACCTGCGGCGCCGCCAGCCCGTCTACACCATTCCCGCCCACACCAACTTAATTTCGGACGTCAAGTATCAGCAGGAATGCGGCAGCTTCCTGGTCACCTGCTCCTACGATTCGACCACAAAGATCTGGTCGAACAAGACGTGGCAGCCGCTCAAGACGCTGCAGGGTCACGACAACAAGGTCATCTCGGTGGACATTGCGCCCAATTCGCAGTACATAGCCACCACCTCGTTCGACCGCACATTCAAGCTGTGGTCGCCGGATAGCTGATTTCGATACCATTTCTTTATTGTACTTGCCTGTCGGCGTACGCAGACAATCTCCATTTGCGATCTGCCCGCTGGGCACCACTTACTCATCAACTGTTTTTGTTATTTCAGAGACAATAGCCCAAGGAAGTTCTTGCAGACATTTCAAGTTTTCGTTTTGTATGACACAATTTGTTGTTTTTGTTAGGCGAAAGGCAGATGCAGCGATGTTGCATTTCGTAAATTTAAGAATTTTTTATTGAAATTGTTAATAAAAAACACATTTTTGGTAGATAAGTGTATTTCAAAGATGTTTTTAAGGAAAATGGGCTTGGAGTACATACATTCTTGATGAATAGAATGATGCAAATTGCTAATTTTCTGATTTGCATATAAATCCAGATTTGTTTCCAATAAAAAGCAGTATCCATAGTGTATATAGTTTTCCGTTTAATTTCTTTTCGTATATTTTTGTTGTATGACAAACTTAGACATTTAATTTGAATTTTAACTAAAATTTAACTACCACAGATAGGTTGCAATTACATACATACATTTAAATGTATACGTCTAATATATTAATTACAGATATACGTACATCGTGATATAGCTGTTACATATAGTTACACATAAAGATTTATCAATTTTCTTGCCGTTTGCACAATTTTTCGATAAGTTGCTCTTAATATTTTTGTCGTTTAATTACGCTCATGCATGAAGTTAATAATGTCTAGAATTTCATTTCTTCTTTTCGCGTTGAGATTTACACCGATTTTAATCGTAGGTTATAGGTATTATGTAGAATATGGAGCAGGGACTTGGAGCGGGTTCGGGGGGCTGGACGAGCGCGTTCTAATATAGATTTTTATGAGGTCTCCCGACGCTCGAAGATGCCACTTAACTAAATACATAACTCTTGCACTAGGCTAACAAACTAGACAAAATGATAACTAATTAACAATTAAGGTAAACGTTTATTGGAAATCCTGCAGCAGGTGCCAGGCTCGTCGCCGTCCCGCTCCCCCTAGACTGTCGTGTCCGGCGCCGGTGTGATGGGCTGCTTGGACTCGGACGCCTCCAAGGACCTTCCGTGGGGCGCGGGCCCGCCCTCCTGCGGATCCTCCGGCGCGATGTCGATGCGGTGCGCCTTGCGCCACACCACCAGGTCCATCAGGAATGCCAGGAACATAATGCCAGCTGTGATCCCTGCAGGTTATAAGAGATTATTAAGTATTTATTAAGTACTATATTTTATTTGGTTATCCAGTTCAATATTTGTAACAATTAAACCGAATTATTTTTTTTTTAATTTAAAGGAACCTTTAATTTAAAAAGGGGTTGTTAAGCTTAAAGGTTCCGTTCATAAAATAATATGTTTGGTTTCAATGCAAGCTCTTTAGCTCTTTAGCTTTAGCTTTAGATTAAACAATCTTCAAATTATCCAAAATAAGTTAGTTCTTTACATAAAACAATAATTTAAAGTATGTATTTTATTTATCCCATTGTTCCCATTGTCCCATTATTCTTTATTGGGTTTTGGATAGGTTTACTTGTAAATCACTGAGTTGTTGTCGTAGAATTTTAGTTAACTTACCTAGGAAGTATTGCCTGAAGGTGTCTGCGTCGTAGAGCGAACAGGCTCCGTGCTTGCCGCACACGGATTTCCAGATGAGGCAGGCGGAGTCCACCACTGCACCGTAGATGATCGGACACGGAACATTCCCGAACAACCCAATGGCCGACTGAATCACTCCCATGGCCATGGCCTTATCTGCGGAGCATAAGAGTGAAATTTAGTATGCCTAACATCTGGAGTCACTATCCTGGGCGTTACCTTTCGGATGTGTGCAGCGCATGACGAGCAGCATGCTGCCCACCTCGGAGGTGGAATGCATAAATACGCAAATGGCAAAGATCAGTATAAAGTAGATGAAGTTCTTGCAGTTATTATCACAGTAACCGTTGACCGCCTCCGGAGCTGAAAGTTGATAGGGGTCTTATTTATTGGGAAACCCAGATGTGGTTTGTCATGATCTCACCATCTGGAATGCAAGCACAGTCCGAGTAGAGGGTGCGATTGTCGCTCGGCCGCAGCGAGGAGCTACTGCATCCGGCGTGGCAGGCCGAGATGTACATCTTGCCATCGGCGCAGATGGGCGCAAAGTTCTCCTTATCACAGGTACAGTTGAGAGCGGCGCTGCACGTGGGCTCGATCAGAGCGGGACTATGATTTCATTAAAGGAAGTAAAATACCAATCATAAAAATAGGAGAATCCACCCGAGTTCCCTAAACCGACTTTAATAAAAGTTTAATTAGTATTTATAATATTATTTTTAAAATTATTCAGTATCCTTTAATATCTAAAAATGATAATTTTTATTCTTTTTTATCATATTATTCAAAAATTATCATCTTTTTAAAGCAGAAATTACAGCAATTATTTTATTTGTAATCGTAATTGTGTTTTTTCATAAGACTTTTTTTTTGTTATAGTGGTTATATGGTTATGAAAGAGTTTATTTAATTTAAAAGTACATAATTACTTTATTTAGAAGGGTATATTAAACTGTTCTAATATGTGTGATAAAATCTTTTTTAATCATAATAATACGTTACCCAGAAAACTGTTTTGTGGTTCTAATAAATATTTGTATCCCTTTGTATCGATTTCAGTACTCACCTGTTGCCATCGCTTGGCTTGTAGCCGGCGAAGTCGTTCATGCTGCAGCCGATGAACATCAGGATGATCATTCCGGCGGAGTAAACGAGGGCTGTGAAAGCGATCCAGGCTGCAACGCCCCGGGCAGTGGGCTTCCGCTTCAGGATGAACAAGCCGGAGATGACGATGCCGATGCCCATGACCAGGATCCCGCAGAAGGCGGCGATCATGTTGGCATCGTAGGTGGCCAGTCGGAACTGGGTTTCCAGGTACTTCGGCAGGAACGTGTACAGACCGGCGATGGGCAGCAGGTGGAACACACACGAGGCGGTGCGGAACATCAGGATGTCGTTGCTCAGCTGACGGCGCACCGTCTTGGGAAAGTCTGAAATGGCGATTGAATAACCTTTAAGATTATTTCCTGTCCTTCATAAAATACTTTCAAAGTTATATGATTTTAAATAGTCTTATAAATGAATATTGTAAATTTAAAGAATAATAATGTAATGTATTTATATTTTATTTATATGACTTTTATAATAAAGTGTATTTTTATCTTCTAAAAACATATCTGTTTATAAAGCTATTTAAAAACATATCGTTAGTACATGAAAATAAAGATTAAGTTAATATGAATATACAATTCAAAAGCATAATGACAAGCAAAGCAAATAAAATAAGTGAAACATTTAGTTTTGAGAATATCAGTGTGATAAAATAATAGAAAGTTACATTTATAATTGAACCGAAATTTGTATAACAAATTTAAGTAATGCACTCTTATTTTAAGCTAGTAAATTAGGAAACTCTTTTCGGTATTTTCTGATCGTTAATAAAAAAATTCAAATCAACTCTTTGAACTTACCCTTCAGCTTGGGCTTCTCCTCGGGCTCAGCGGGAGCTGCTGGCGAGGTGGCCGCCTGGGATTGGGACTGCTGCTTGCCCCGCAGCTGCTTGGGGAACGAGAACATGGCGATGGAGGCGAGCAGCATGAGGCTGCCGATGGCCACGGGCCCCAGCCACCAGGCGCCGATCCAGCGCGGATCGGTGGCATCGAAGCCGGGATTGGAGAAGTTCACGTACCAGCGCGTGCAGAAGCTGCCGAAGATGAAGCCGGAGGCGGGTCCCAGGATCCGCATGCCGATGGTGACGGCCATGTACATGGGCGACTGCTTGCTGCCGACGTTGTCGTCGATGTAGGGAATGCCCAGGGTGGCCACGGCGGTCTGGCCGATGCCCGAGCTCAGCAGGCTGCCGAAGAAGATGCAGAGCACGATGACGGTGATCTTGGAGTGGGAGGCCTGCTCCAGCTGGCGCTCCTCGTTGCACTCGCTGCCCGACACCGTTTGGTTGCCACCCAGGATGCATAGATTGGGGTTCACCTGCTCCCTGCTGGCGTTCAGCCAAAGAGATGAGGAGGAATCCCCGGCAGGAGCAACCTGCTGCGTCTGCTGCAGGATCACGCTGGAGTGCATCAGCTGCTCGCCGAAGATGAAGTGCGGCAGGGCGCAGGAGAAGGCGGCGATGGAGAAGAGGACCATGCCGCAGGCAATCCACCTGGGGCGATGACCCCTGCCCGCGAAGTAGGTCAGCAGCATGGCCGTGCAGATCTGGCCCATCTCGCTGGCACTCAGCAGGATGCCCGTGGTCTTCGACTTGATCTGGAAGAGCTTCTCGATGGTGGTGATCACGGAGACGAAGTAGGTCATGTACATGCCCTGCAGGATGTACGCCAGCAGGAAGACCACCATGAACACGTGCGTCGACGCGAATCTCCTGGCCCATCGAGGCCTACAGCCGAAGAGGCCGCAGCTGGAGCTGGAGTCCGCGGAGGTGTTGCCGTTCAGGTCGGAGTCGAAGTCGGACTCCTCGGATTCGCTGCTGCGCGCTGGCAACTTGTAGCCACCCGTCAGGGGAGCCTGTTCGTGGGCATACTTTTCGCTGAGACTGTGACCGTTTCCGGTTCCGTTGTTGTTGCTGCTCAGCAGGTTGCCCATGCCGTTCTTTGGGGGAAGTCCCCCGGCGTCTTCCACTCGTTGTTGTTGCTCGGCGTGCTCTCGTAGAGCACCGTGGTGCTCGGCGGCGGAGTGGTCACCTCCCCATTGGGAGTGGCGTTGCCATTGTTGTGCTGCGCCAAGAGTGGCGTGAATGCCTGGCTGGAGTCGCGACGTCCGCCGTTCTGGTGGTAGCCATTCCCGTTCAGCTGGCCGTGTCCGTTGCTGGGTTTTCCCGCCGCCGACTGGACCTGCGCTGCCGCCTCCACGTCGCCATTGCTGCTTTTTGTCATCTTGGCTTTCAGGGGTGTTCGAGAATCGAAATACGAAAGGGGTTTTGATCTGTCTTCGGGGCTTCTGTCGATCTCAAATGGGTAATCTCAACGGTTCTGCTCAGTGGCTCTCCTCTATGTCCTCTTGGTTATTGCCTGTTCCATTTTTACGTTGCTCGGAAACTGTGCTGTCGCTTTTAATCCAGTTCACTCTCGCTTGTTGGCCCAGAAAATGAGGTAGATTCGTTGATCTGGTTTCTGATAACAGTTCTATATTCTTTGTTGCAATATGGCAGTGTTGGGTCTGAAAATGGAACGGAAGAAGGTGGTAAATTAAAGTTGTCGATATTAATAAATTAACCTGAAAGAACAGTACACATTTTCCCGAAACGTGATTATTATTATATTCCCAAAGTGTATACAAATGTTTCATTTAATAAGTTTTAGTTCCATATGAAGCTCTTTAGTTAGTAATACAAATCTAATAATTTAAAAAATAAAGTTGTATACTCTGCTATATCAATATATATTTGTATAATTTATAATTTAATTAAGTGAGCTTTAGTTGCATTACTCTTTGACAGATAAATACAGAAATATTATAAATATTAAGTATTAATATTAAATAAGTGCTATATGCATTAGTACAAAACTCAACATGAAGTACTTACATATTTTTTATACAAAAAAGTATTTATAAATTTATATTTATATTTTTTTTTTAATTTTTAAGCTACACTCCACCATCCGAATGCAATGAAACTATAGCGCTGAAATCCCAACGAAGACTGGGAAAAAATCGGAAAACCACTGAGCACACACACCTTATCAGCTCTGCACTAATACAAATGCATTCAAAACGCAGTCGAGTGAACAGCATGCGTCAAAACATTAGCAAAAGCTGCGAAATTTTAGATTGCACCATTTTTTTTTTGCAAATTGATAAGGGAAACCAAAAAGTTCAAGGTTAATTTGATATAAAATTTCGGGCGCACGAGGCGGCTGCTTAGCCAACTTATACCTAAAGTTAATCCATTTAGTAATCACAATAATTGTAAATATAAACTAAGTATATAACTATGGGCTTATATATACAAAACGAGTATGTGTACGAGTATACAAAACAAATATTAAAACAGTTTGCCCAAATTCCCCTCAACTCGTATCTCATATAAAGTTTTGTTTTTTTTTTGGCAAAAAAATTTCAATGTCAAATGTTTGCAAATTTCATTCTAAATATTCGTTGTTCTTTTTTGCCTCAGTCATTTGTATTTGTGTTGGCTTATAAAAAGCAATGACTGAATCAAATTTCACTTTCCGCTGGGCCAGCCGCTCTGGTTCCATTGCAATCACAATGGACTGGCTGCAGTCGCAAATCTTATCATTATGCCCGACCTCGCTGATAAGGAAAGTGAAATTTCTGCTCGGTGGTAGGGAGAGGTTGGGGTTGCCAACCCCCACTTCACAAACGTTGTGATAACTATTTTAAAACCAATTAATTATAGAAACCTTGAGGAATTTATTACAAATATATCACAATGTGTTTGAGCCAGAATTTCTTAACAACAATTTTTATTGCATACTTTTTGGCAATATTTTAGGAGGATTAAAAATGTAGGGGTTTTCCTTCATGAGATAAAATACATTTTACTGAATAAAAGAGATATACATATTAATTTTTATTTGTGTGTAGTCCAATAGTAAATTGGAAAAAGGCAAATAGACGAAGGAAATATTGAAGAGCTTTATGTTTTTCCTTTTTTTTCTTGGCTTCAGGCGTCATAAACTTTGGCCTTGAAATTGTTGTTATTGCTGCTATTGGTTTCTTTCCTTTTTCTTTGTTTTTCATTCGATTTTATTTATTGCGCATTTTGCGCTTTTGATTTCTGTTTGAAATACTCTGTTGTTGTTCCATTGGAATGCGTGTGAATCGAGGGAATATTTATTTATGCATAATTAGAGATGAATGGAGGTAGCACGTGCTTAATTAGCAATTTCGATTTATTTTTTATTTTTGTGCAGGCATATGAGGTTACAACATCTGAACAAAACAACATAAAGCGGGAAAAAAGGCCGCAGAACAAAAATCTATGGCTTCAAAAATTAGGTGTGTAATTTATTAATAACTAAAAGTATAAATACGTGTTTAAAAGTCGAACTATTTAAAAAAAAAAAAAATACAAATTTTCATTGCAGTTTAATGTTATACAACAATCAATTAAGGATTAGTAAAATCCTTTGACCATTGTTTAAAACACATATTAGAAATTCAAATGTGAAGTGTTTTAGTCTTATCTATTATTTTATTTGGCTTGGAAACTTTTTACAACAAAGCTTTAATGACGTTCTTTGATCCAAGATCTCTGACATCATAGCTCATAATGTAAATTTCCAGCATTAAATAGAATGTATAATGTCTCGAGATAAGCCCATGGCTTTATCTAAATTTGACTCCCTTATCTTTTCACACTTTCCCACAGTGTTCTCGTACTCCTTGGAGAGTCCAAGTGATGACGTAGATGGGGCAACAAAGCCGGAACTTTAGTGCTCGACTGCCACTTATCGCAGCCATCGCTGCGTAATCCTCCCCGCCCCCTTTCCGCCCCCTCGGACTATGCAGAAAAGAGCTGAAACTTTGGAGCTATTCCTATTCCGATGCACTTGCTGGGCCTGGTCTGAACCTGAACTCCTGCAGTTACCTGTTTGGCTTTGGCTCTGGCTTTGGCTTTGGGCTTGAGTTTAGGTTCGAGCTGCGGGCAGGGCGCATTGAACCCGGCTGGGAGCAAGCGACCAGGTTGACCATGTTGCCATCTATCGGCAGATGTTTATGTAAGACCCCGGCCATCTATTGCCTTTAATTTGGCTTGATGGATGGTTAATTGTTCAATTTGCTGCAAGTGTTCGAGTGACAGCAGAGATTGCCGATTTATCAGTGTCAATCATAATAAATGCAATTAAACCACCCAGGCGTTTATGAAACTATCTTTGAGCGGGACATGCTGTCTAGCACTGATAGATATGTAGATTGTGGCTGGGTTTCCATTTCAATTGGGCCCACGGCTATCATCATAAATACAATGTAAGCTGCCTCACCGCGGTACAAAATGCAGGCATTTATCTTTTTTTTGTCACTTGTAATGCATACTATATATATAGTTATAATCTGTTTAATTATTACTTCTAGTAAGTTTTAAAAATTTTACATTTGCAAAGGAATCAATCACATATTATCCACAAGAAATTGTTGTTTCTTTTAATTCTAAAACAAAGCAAAGTATTTTTTTAAATAAGTAATTTAACTTCTATTATAAAACTATAAGCCGTAATTTCGGTAAGCATGTCTTGAATATTTTCTCGCTATAACAAATTGCCTAAAAACATTGCACTTTAAGATATGTATTTTAATGCCAAGTAACTATAGTTGCATTGCACTTAAATCGCCGTTATGAAAATAAAGGGCTTGTTCATTATTGCAACATCAAAATTTATGGCTCCTTATTGTTGCTTTTTATATTATCGAAACACTTAAATTTATTTTAGAAGCAATCGAAGCAGTAGGATCAACGCCTTTTGCTGTCTAGTGTATCAAGAATGGCAAAGCTGGCGAGGAAAAAGGGGAGTTGCACTTTTTCTCTGCTTACAGCGTGTGGATTTTCCGGTTTTCCTGGCCACTTGCCACACGTCTTACCTCTTCCCTCTTCCGTCTTTCGGTCTTTGGTGTTCGGTCTTCGGTTTTCCTACTACGTAACTGAGTTATGTGTGTCCGTGTGCCTCTTTTGCGTAAGTATGGGTGTGCATTTGAATTGCGCAAGCGCAACTATTGCAAATTGCATACCAAGCAGCTCAGTAACTGATGTTGCTGCTGCTGCTGTTGTTGTTGCTGCTGCTGCTGCTGCTGCTGCTGCTGCATGCCAACATGCAACAAAACCAGACACGCGGGCAACGTGCTGACTAGACGCTGACAGCAGCAGCAGCAGCAACAACTTGGCAACAAACAAGTGCAACAAGGTGCAAGGGAAGAAAGCTAGCCAACAATGGCTAGAAGCGGCATTGAAAGTAAATTGCACACTCGACCAGCAACAGCAACAGCAACAGCAACAGATGCCAGTTGCAAGTCCAAGTTGAAGTCGAACCTGTAGTTAAGGCCTGCTGCAGTGAGCTCGGAAAAGTGGTTTTTCCACATTTCACTTTTAGCATAGAAACGATTTAGAACCTGAGCTATCTTCGCTGCAGTCTTTTATATGGTGAGCAACAAAATCGTGGAGAAGAATTGCTTATTAATCGCAGGGAATTCGCTTCGTGTCCGCCCTTTTACAATGTTTGAAAGCCAAGATTTATTTATTTTTTCTTGTTCCCCAGACATTGAGTCATTTTCTTGGTTTTATTCCCTAGGTTCTCCAATTCGCTGACCAATCAGATATATTCGTTTATTGTGTTTTGACTTTGACCTTCACATTGAGAGCTGAAATTTGAACCAAAAGCTCGAATTGTGTAAACAAACTGTGGATCAGACAAAAACAATAACAAAAAGTTCCCAGCTTGGCTGTGACAAACGATTAAATTACCAACGCTGCCCACTTTAGTATAAAGTTATATTAAAGCTGCCTAAAATTTCCGTAATTATTTTATTTTTGGGTCAATATTCAGATTGTTTATTATTCACAAATGTTTGGATCCAAGTAAAACCAAAACCAAATTAAACTTTTTAAACTACAAATTTTGGATTATACAGATTGTATTTTAATGCGATTAAGATACCATCCGAATCCCGTGTACTTATGTAGATATATACACAGATTTTTAAGCATGTGCTTTTTTGTTTCTTAAAACTGGAACAACCATGTAAAGCGTCTGAGTTTGGTACGTATAAATACAATATGGGGTTCATGATTCATGGCAACACAAAGGGTGTGGCTTCCCCGCCGAAAAACAATGGCAAAAAATACTTAAAACATTTTCAGCAACTGGCGAAATGGAATACCTGAACAAAGGTGATTGAATAATGCTCTAACTGAAATTGCCAGTAATTTAATTTGTAATTTTAGAATCATTTGAAATCATTTAGCAAAGATATTTTCCAACAGCTTTAAATGAAAGAGTTTGTTTTCTCTGGCTGAAGAACATGGATTACTTTTTCAGTACCATATATTTTGGTTAGTCCAAAAGGCTTAAAACTTTACAAATTTATTCGCTTGCAATGGAGTGTGTATATATTACAATTTTTGGACTGCAGCTGTCTTTCTTTTGTACGCATTAATTTGGCGAAAAACAAAACTTCCTTTTTGACGGCGCTTGTTAAAAATC